GGGTCGAAACTTCCCATTCGCATAACTCGGTCGAAACTGAACCGATTTTCATGAGGATTGGCTTTTTGTTCATGGTTTTCCCTCTAGAATAATGTGGCATTTAAATCTGACAACAAAATTTTTAGTCGGATTTCATGTCTAAATCTTACCCCTAGTTTCGTACATTGACATGGGTCGAAACTTCCCATTCGCATAACTCGGTCGAAACTCACCCGATTTTCATGAAAATTGGCGTTTTGTTCATGGTTTTCCCTCTAGATTAATCTGGCATTTAAATCTGACAACAAAATTTTTGGTCGGATTTCATGTCTAAATCTTACCCCTAGTTTCCTACACTGACATGGGTCGAAACTTCCCATTCGCATAACTCGGTCGAAACTCAACCGATTTTCATGAGAATTGGCGTTTTGTTCATGGTTTTCCCTCTAGATTAATCTGGCATTTAAATCTGACAACAAAATTTTTGGTCGGATTTCATGTCTAAATCTTACCCCTAGTTTCGTACACTGACATGGGTCGAAACTTCCCATTCGCATAACTCGGTCGAAACTCAACCGATTTTCATGAGAATTGGCTTTTTGTTCATGGTTTTCCGTCTAGATTAATCTGGTATTAAAATCTAACAACAAAATTTTTGGTCGGATTTCATGTCTAAATCTTACCCCTAGTTTCGTACACTGACATGGGTCGAAACTTCCCATTCGCATAACTCGGTCGAAACTCAACCGATTTTCATGAGAATTGGCTTTTTGTTCATGGTTTTCCCTTTAGATTAATCTGGTATTAAAATCTAACAACAAAATTTTTAGTCGGATTTCATGTTCAAATCTTACCCCTAGTTTCGTACACTGACATGGGTCGAAACTTCCCATTCGCATAACTCGGTCGAAACTCAACCGATTTTCATGAAAATTGGCGTTTTGTTCATGGTTTTCCCTCTAGATTAATCTGGCATTTAAATCTGACAACAAACTTTTTGGTCGGATTTCATGTCTAAATCTTACCCCTAGTTTCGTACACTGACATGGGTCGAAACTTCCCATTCGCATAACTCGGTCGAAACTCAACCGATTTTCATGAGAATTGGCTTTTTGTTCATGGTTTTCCGTCTAGATTAATCTGGTATTAAAATCTAACAACAAAATTTTTGGTCGGATTTCATGTCTAAATCTTACCCCTAGTTTCGTACATTGACATGGGTCGAAACTTCCCATTCGCTTAACTCGGTCGAAACTCAGCCGATTTTAATAAGGCTTGGCTTTTTGAGAATGGTTTTCCCTCTAGATTAATCTTGCTTTTAAATCTGACAACAAAATTTTTGGTTGGATTTCATGTCAAAATCTTACCCCTAGTTTCGTACACTGACATGGGTCGAAATTTCCCATTCGCATAACTCGGTCGAAACTCAACCGATTTTAATAAGGCTTGGCTTTTTGTGAATGGATTTCCCTCTAGATTAATCTGGCATTTAATTCTGATAACAAAATTTTTAGTCGGATTTCATGTCTAAATCTTACCCCTAGTTTCGTACACTGACATGGGTCGAAACTTCCCATTCGCATAGCTTGGTCGAAACTCAACCGATTTTAATTAGGCTGGGCTTTTTGTGAATGGTTTTCCCTCCAGATTAATCTTGCATTTAAATCTGACAACAAAATTTTTGGTCGGATTTCATGTCAAAATCTTACCCCTAGTTTCGTACTGTGACATGGGTCGAAACTTCCCATTCGCATAACTTGGTCGAAACTCAACCGATTTTCATGAAAATTGGCGTTTTGTTCATGGTTTTCCCTCTAGAATAATCTGGCATTTAAATCTGACAACTAAATTTTTAGTCGGATTTCATTTCTAAATCTTACCCCTAGTTTCGTACACTGACATGGGTCGAAACTTCCCATTCGCATAACTCGGTCGAAACTCAACCGATTTTCATGAAAATTGGCGTTTTGTTCATGGTTTTCCCTCTAGATTAATCTGGCATTTAAATCTGACAACAAAATTTTTGCTCGGATTTCATGTCTAAATCTTACCCCTAGTTTCGTACTGTGACATGGGTCGAAACTTCCCATTCGCATAACTCGGTCGAAACTCAACCGATTTTCATGAGAATTGGCTTTTTGTTCATGGTTTTCCCTCTAGAATAATGTGGTATTAAAATCTGACAACAAATTTTTAGTCGGATTTCATTTCTAAATCTTACCCCTAGTTTCGTACACTGACATGGGTCGAAACTTCCCATTCGCATAACTCGGTCGAAACTCAACCGATTTTCATGAAAATTGGCGTTTTGTTCATGGTTTTCCCTCTAGATTAATCTGGCATTTAAATCTGACAACAAAATTTTTGCTCGGATTTCATGTCTAAATCTTACCCCTAGTTTCGTACACTGACATGGGTCGAAACTTCCCATTCGCATAACTCGGTCGAAACTCAACCGATTTTCATGAGAATTGGCTTTTTGTTCATGGTCTTCCCTCTAGATTAATGTGGTATTAAAATCTGACAACAAATTTTTAGTCGGATTTCATGTTCAAATCTTACCCCTAGTTTCGTACACTGACATGGGTCGAAACTTCCCATTCGCATAACTCGGTCGAAACTGAACCGACTTTCATGAGAATTGGCATTTTGTTCATGGTTTTCCCTCTAGATTAATCTGGTATTAAAATCTAACAACAAAATTTTTAGTCGGATTTCATGTTCAAATCTTACCCCTAGTTTCGTACACTGACATGGGTCGAAACTTCCCATTCGCATAACTCGGTCGAAACTCACCCGATTTTCATGAAAATTGGCGTTTTGTTCATGGTTTTCCCTCTAGATTAATCTGGCATTTAAATCTGACAACAACATTTTTGGTCGGATTTCATGTCTAAATCTTACCCCTAGTTTCGTACACTGACATGGGTCGAAACTTCCCATTCGCATAACTCGGTCGAAACTCAACCGATTTTCATGAGAATTGGCTTTTTGTTCATGGTTTTCCCTCTAGATTAATCTGGTATTATAATCTAACAACAAAATTTTTAGTCGGATTTCATGTTCAAATCTTACCCCTAGTTTCGTACACTGACATGGGTCGAAACTTCCCATTCGCATAACTCGGTCGAAACTCAACCGATTTTCATGGGGATTGGCGTTTTGTTCATGGTTTTCCCTCTAGATTAATCTGGCATTTAAATCTGACAACAACATTTTTGGTCGGATTTCATGTCTAAATCTTACCCCTAGTTTCGTACACTGACATGGGTCGAAACTTCCCATTCGCATAGCTCGGTCGAAACTCAACCGATTTTCATGAAAATTGGCGTTTTGTTCATGGTTTTCCCTCTAGATTCTAAATTTTTAGTCGGATTTCATGTCTAAGTCTTACCACTAGTTTCGTACATTGGGGCCGAGCCAAATTGATCAAAAGGTCAAACCATAAACAAAAAGGTTGACTTTACAAATGAATCGTTTTTTGGTCAACATTTTTGAACCCATTGATTTTTAAAATATTTGAATGTCAGTCCATCCTTACGAGTCCAAAGTACTGGATCCTTACGAGTCCAAAATGGTATAATTACCCGAGATATTCAAAAAAGTTCCCCATGATTATCGGCGAATATATGTCGTTTTGAAGCGTCATGTCTCCGCGGCATGTGTTTTTAGATCGGCGGAGCTATGTCGCTTCAAAACGACATTATCTCGGCATGATCAAGAATGTATATACTTTATGGATTGCAGATGCTTCCTTTTGCCTGTTTGCACATAAATATTATACAAATTTTTAATGGGTTCAGGGTATAAAAAGTGTGAGCAACAACAATATGGATTCAAAGCTCATTTACCTAGCGCCCACTACCTTGCGTTAGATAGTTGGATCTGTTTGAAATTTCTCCCAAAATCGCTACCATATAAAGAGTCAGCGGAGGTTGCTGCTGACGATGATTATGATGACGCCCGAAAAAGGCGTGGCTTTTGTAATTAAGTGTGATTGCTTGTACATTAAAGTACAGCAGACTAGAAGGCAGAGAGCGAATACGAGCATACATTATAAATACCCATCATGCCCGCATAATTACAGGCCCCAGCATAAGCGCTCTTAATACGGCAAACAGAGAAAGGAGGCAAGAGAAAAAGTTCAGTCAACTTCTTCGGGTTTGATTTAAAGTTTAATTTAATTTTGCAAGTGTTTGGAAGAAATGTCACTTGTCCATAAAAGAATGGCAGCTGATTGATATTTAAGGCATGGCCTACTCGTGGCCGCAAATCGAAAGTTATATGACAGAATGACCACCAAAATTGTGTTAACTGAATTCAGTACACAAATTGGACTTGAGTACATGAATTTCACAACAAGATCACATATTTCTATATATATATTTATATATAGATTTTTTTATATTTATTCTATATATAAAGTTATATGCCTTATATATAAATAAAACAAACACTTTTAAAAGACAGTTGAAGCAAAACGCGATAATAAGTCGATAAAATAAATACAGAAACAATAAAAAAAAAAGATAATAGACAACACAAAATAGGTGCATACTTCTAGGCATATTCTGGCAGCGCCACCTAGCGTTAGGCAGTCAGTTTCTTTTATAAATAGAGTAGATGCATATTTGAACATTAAATGTCTATATAGAGACAGACCATTATCTTCTTATATCATTCGAGTTATGCTTAGTTTAGACTTAATTTATCGGCAGTTGAGCAATTTCAAACTTAGCTTTCCATCTGTGGATTTTGGTAGATGTTAACTATATTATGTGGGTAAGCTTGTTTGTACTGCTCGCACTTTTCGACAAGCTTGTATCTAATGCTCGGTTAGCAGCTTGATGCAGAGGCAAGGGAAACAAAATTAAAGCGAGTTACAGCAGCGGTAATTACAGTTTTCACGCAAGTTGGAATGGAATTGAAATCGCATTCGAAATGAAAACCGGGAAAAAGTTGCGTGGGGAACTAAAACTAGCTTGCAATTGCAATAAATGATAATAAATAAATACACTTACATTGACAAAGTTTTCGCGTCGAATATCATCGACCTCATCGCGCTTGTTGACGCGTCTTTTCCAGTCATCCTCGCCGCTCTTCTGCAGCGCTGCCAATCGCTCGGCAATGGAGCCAGTCTTGGCAATATTGCGCTGATCGGGACCCATATTCTGGCGATAAGAAAGAACGATTGGAATGAAGCATATAAATGTGCAGTATGTCAAGTATATACTCACATCTGTGGCTTGGTCTTCAGTGGAGTCTTTGTTGAGTAGTGTGTCTTCTTGCTTATCTGGATCTGGTTGCGATTGGGTTGATTCCTCGGTTGATGTGCTCGGCTTATCGGCGGCATCTACATGACGCAACTTGACAAAGCCACGGGCGCCAGCTGGAGGCAGTTGGGGGGGGCCTGTGCCACTATGCTGTGCTGCTATGCCCGAGTAACTTTTGCTTTTTGCAATGAGATTGCTGCAAAGACAACCGCAAAGAAAAACTGTTAAAGTGTGGCAACTCGAAACGCGTATCTTACAAATACTAGCAAACACTTTCATCCACAAATGCAACTATGAACCAGCTGAGATTCTGTCAATGGGGTCTTCCCTTCCCCCGCCCGCAATCATTCTTTTCATTCAATTAATAGCAAAATCGTGACGCAGCGTTTTTCGTGCCACTAATGAGCACTGCAATGCACCCAGGGACCCAGAGCTGACATGTCTTATTTTTGAAAATTATCCATAACATTCTTACATACGGAAGGAAGCAATTGCCGCTAGATATTCGAGATAACTTTCTCCATACGGAGCATGGTGAACAATTTATAAATAGTAGGAAGCCATGGAACACATGGATTATTATTTTGGATAAGTTGTTAAATTCCAGGTTCCATTTATATTTGAAAATTAATTATCATAGAATGCTGTTCAGGATTTTGCCCCTCGTCCAGAGTTCACCTCGAGCATAAAATTCTTAAACTTAAATTGATTCACTTAAATTTGTTGCATTAGTCACCTGACAAACAAATAGCTGAGTTTTGCGTAGATTACAATGTCGAGTTTTGAGCACAATTGTTTTTTGATCTTTGTTAGCACCTGAGAGTGTGTGAGGGGGTCACTGATAAACACTTAACTGTACTGCAACAGGTGAGAGCTGTGCGAGAGCGAGTGTGAACTTAACGTGGCAAATGCCTTCGGACGAATGAGCGTTGCATGCAACGTAGTATGACAGGTGGTAAACTTATCGAAACTCAACACCTGGCTGGTGTCTGGCGCTGATTTAGCCACAGGTAAACATAGAAACACAAAACGTTGACAGTTAAATTGCATATTAATTTTGGAAAATTGACAGGCACTCAAACTGGGCGAAGCAGGTCGAAAAGGTGTCGACTCGCGGGCCACTAAGTTTGCCAGGTGCAAATACAGGCCAGCTACCTGAAGTCAACAACTTGTCATATTGTCACACATAGCCCCTGCTAACCGCAACCCCCCTCCCAGCCCCCCAAGCAGCTGCGGTTGTACGCCACGCCACAACTAAAACCGCGTTTCGGGCCGTAGCTTTTAAATACATTTCGCAGTCTAACATCCAAAATGACGAAAGTGGCGCTCAGCAAAGCGTCTCAAATTCAATTAACATGCAAAATTACGTGGAAAATGCATTACAATTCCCAACTGTGGTTGGTCAACTAAAACGGTTTTCAGGAGATTCCTTGCAAAAAAACTGACAAGTGTCGATTAAATGCAAAATAAACTATACATATATCTAGTTATAACATAATATATAACTAGTTATAATATAAATTGGAAAATATACGTGTTGAAATCAATTATCAAAGCTCTTTTTTTTTGCAGTGTAAATCAAAGTAAAAGCGTAGATAATGTTTAAATTGCATGCAGACCGGGCACAGGCGAAGGGCCTTATTCATAGATAGATAGAGAGAGCGGCAGCCAATCAATGGAGTCATAGGTCAGAGTTCGCAGCACACGAAGGTCTTTACGGGTTGCTCTTTGCGCTTAGAGGCCGTCCTTTGTTGATACACTTAATGCACAAATTGCTATTGAAACAGTTTGCCGTTCAATTAGTTTGAGTGGTGAGCCAAGGTGTGGCCCGCTAAGCCCGTCCTCAAACACATTTCAATTCCCTTTCCGATGAGCTGTGGAAAAACTGTGGAAAAACTGTGAAAACTCACAGCAACAGCTAAATGCTGTAAATTGCATCATTTGTTCGCATTTACCCAGCGATCTGCTCGTGAAGCTAGCGAGTCTCTCGCTCTGGCTCTGGTATTTTGTAATTGAAAAAGGCGCGCATTTCTCATTCGTTGGTAATTAAAATTTTTGTACAACACGCGATCAACTTGCACCGCTGACTCGGAATGATATAACAAAGTGAATTGTTTTATGAACTGTTTAGCGCGGCATAAATAATTAGAAGCGATAAACTCATCGTCGAGTGGCTTTCAAGCTCTATGAGCATTGGGCACGACATCCCAGCCAATGTAACTCCCACAAATGCAGGTACTCAAGACTTTATTTGTAGACCGATATCGAAACTTTAAAGAGCGCTTGTCAAATGCTTGAAATGCGAACTTGAAACTGTGCTGGCGGTTTGCAACAAGGTGAAACTAAAGTCAGCTCAGCTTGTTCTTAAATTATAATATGTTATTATTGGATACGGTAGTGGCAAAACCGCAAGCGGACCAATCCGATCCGATCCGATCATATTACAGATCAGGTGAAGCGAATATCAGCGATAATAATGATAAAAGTAAGGATCGTAACGAGCAAAATAATCAAGTAAATGAAACTTATGCAACTTGAGCGCAAAAAGATTGCAAAAGATTCGCAAAACTTCGCGATCGAAAAGCGATCTGCTCAGGTGCCTTCACAAGCTCAACGGAGCCCAGCTCAAGGCAAGAGGAGCGATGATTACCTTAGACAATGGCAGGCAATAACCATGTAAAACTTAAGCAAACCAAGAGATAGCCGTTAGTTAAAGATCTCAGATACAACATTTTCCCACGCGGCATTTCATTTGTGCCAGCCTACAGTACAACCCTCACACCCCGGGCTAGAAAATTGTATGCTGCTCGTAATTATGTAAAATTACAACGTCAACGCGATCTTTGATGAGCCCCCTCCCCTCCCCTCCCCCCTCTCACCCTTAAACTCAATTTAGAGTTCGCTTTTGTTCGAGTATCTGCGCATTTAACATTTCATTAGACTGACCTTCTCTGAATGCTCTGAAAAGCTTAGCTAGCAAGCTTTTTGGCTATTTGTTTTGTTCACGTTTTGAGTTTTTAACAATTTTGGTACAAATTGTATTAAATTTAATTATTCGCGAGGTCGAGATAGTTATACTACTAAGTTCAAGGTCTATGTTTAACTGATGATGAAGTATATCTCACTAGAATGGAGTCAAATTCGTCTATTCGCATTTTCGTCATTCTCTTTGGGAATACCCGCCCGATTATTTTCTGCATTAACAACATGTTGGAAACATATTTATATATATATGAGTCAGAGCAACATTTTGCCACTGACTTGGCAACTTTTGAACAGCTGATTGTCGGCATTGTTGCGGACAGGCGCAGAGCTGCCAGCGCCAGCACGTGCTGCATTCAAAGGCAGCAACCCCCACAAAAGTGGGCAACTCAACCTTGTGCCTCCCAATCCCACTCAGAGCAGGCCCAGACATGTTTTTGCTACCGTTTGCCAGTTGCCGGGGTAACTAAAGCCAAACCCAAACACAAGCCGTCAAAACAAACTCCATTCTTTGTTTGTTGTCGATAACATTGAATCTCCAGAGAGCGGGAGGAACGGGACGGGACTTGGGGACGGGGAAGGGAGTCTGGATAATGGGGGTAACACGCAGATGCTAGACCAGAAGGCAGGAAAATGCATTTTGGGCAAACCTGGTTACCTTTAAAGAGGCAACGCCCAAACTCAGCGTCTGAGTTCCGCACGAAGGGCGAGATTCCTTTCCAGTGCAGCTCTTAAATTATATGCATATTTGTGGTTCCTCGATTTGGTTGGGTTGGGTTGGGTTTGTTTCTGCAGACGTGCCTGACGTGCTCTTTCAGCTCCACTCCAGATGAGTGTTGCTCCCAGCTATTGATTGTAAGCCGCCGTCTGATTCTGCCCTTATACACAGGTTTTCAGATAAGTCAATATCTTGCTTGGGTTGGTTTCATGGGAAAATCGTGAGTCAACGAATTTAATTCGTTGACGGGATTTCTTTAATGACGCTCCCGTTTACCGTTCGGCTGTCTGAAACTGGACGACTCGGACGACTTGTAGACACGTTGATAACTTGTTTGATTCGCTGACACGGCCCACGCAGTAAACATATCCGGTGCGCTCTGGTCTTGTCTTTGCAGTGACTTCATTGGCCGCCAGTTAACTAAACAAGTACTCGAGTGTCTGCCCCTAACTCGCTCTCCACACTCCTCACTCCTCACTCCAATTTCCAGCTCAAATGAACTCTGCGCCAAGTTCAACACGGCAACAACAACAACTTCAAAAACTAAAACAACATTTGTCGTCGCAGTCGCAGTAGCAGTTACAGTCCATTCAACTGTGTTCCAGCCACAGCTGCTTTTCGCTGTTTTCCGCTGCCGGGTTGACAAAACCTTTATCTCACATTTTGTGGGCAAGTGTACTCTGAATTTTGTACTACCCCCACATAAATGTCAAATCGCATTTACTTGACCCTGGCTAAAATAGAGCTTTTGTATATTTAAAAACGAGCAAGAAGGGTTATCTTCGGCACGCCGATAATTTAATGCCCTTGCAGAGCCATCCTTTTCATAATGCCGAGTATGGTTAAGATGTATTGAAAAACAAAAAAGTTTTCCTTACAACAACTTAATTTTCGACCGATCGTTCCTATGGCAGCTATATGATATAGTAGTCCGATGTTGATAAGATTTTGCATATATATGAAGAGCATAGTAAAACTAAAAAATGCCGAGTTTGGTCAAGATATCTTGATAAACAAAAAAGTTTTTCATACAAGAACCTACTTTTCGACCGATCGTTCCCTTGGCAGCTATATGATATAGTGGTCCGATCCAGCTGGTTTTGACATATGAACTGCGTGCAACAGAAAGAGGGAATTCTACAAAGTTTCATAAAGATATCTTTAAAACTGAGAGAATAGTTCGCATAGAAACAGACAGACGGACATGGCTATATCTACTCGGCTGTTGATACTGATCATGGTTATATATACTTTATGGGGTCGGAGATGTCTCCTTCTATGCGTTACACATTTCACGACAAAATTATAATACCCTCTGCAAGGGTATAGCAAGAGAAGCTTTTCTATTAATGCACTAACTAGTTCAAGCGCAAGTATTCCATGTGTTTTATATTTTTAAATTCATTTAAATTCTAGTTCAATTTATTTACCCCGTCGCGTCTATTTGTAATCGCTGTGCGCAATGTGAACAGCTCGAACTGATCGGCATTTTAATCACATTCTCAATATGCTCGAGAGAACACTATAAATACACTCGGAGAAAAAAACCAAATAAGTTTGTACACAAATTAAGTGCAAATGCTGAGAAAATATAATAAAAATCTTGACGTTATTAGTTTTCTTCTGGTTATAATACAGATTAAATAAGTGTTATTTTCTTTCTGGGGAGTATACTAAACCATTCTATCACGTAGTTTCTACATTGAAAAACTCAGGTAATCGTCGTGCCTATCGAAACTGACTTCGCAATGTGGAGAACAACGGTTGAAAACCAGTTCCAGGTAAGCAAATCTGAGTCTAAAATCGTAGCCGCTTGGCTGAACCTGGCCAGGGTTAGGGCTACCCCGGTTAGCCCCTAGATAGCACAGTCGAGCCGCGGACGCTGCGCCGACAACAACTTGAAAGCAAAACTGTTGCTAAATAGAAATCTCATAATCTCGATTCGCGAGCGAGGATCATCATCATCAACATGATGTGGCTGACCCTGCTGGTTGGCGCTTTGACCCTGCTGCTGGCCTGGGACTTTGTACGCAAGCGCCACAGCTGCGCCACATTGAAAAGATCGGGCATTACGGGTCCCTTGTCGCTGCCGTTGTTGGGCTGCGGCATTCAAGCACTGCAGCTGGGCGCAGAGAGTAAGTCTTGGTGTAGATACTACCCCTCTGGTCTGGGCAGCTTCACTTTCACCTCGTCGTGCAGATATCATCGACTATGTTGGCGCTTGCTTTGATAAATATGGCGCGACCTTTCGCATCTGGATACTTGACGAGTCGCTGGTCTACACCAAGGATTTGGGCCACTTTGAGGCCATTCTAAGCAGCACCACGCTGCTGGAGAAGGGTCAGCTGTACCAGTTCCTGCGCCCCTTTCTCAACGATGGACTGTTGTTGAGCGTGGGCCGAAAATGGCACTCCAGGCGCAAAGTCTTTTCCAATGTGTTCCACTTTAAGATATTGGAGCACTACGTGGGCATTATGGACACCCAAAGCGAAGTATTGGTAGAGAAACTAAAGCCAGTTGCCGATGGGCAGCAAGTTGTGGATATGCTGAAGTACGTGTCGCTGGCAGCCCTGGATATCATTACGGGTTTGTGTCGTCTAACTTTATATAACTAGGCCGAGAAAATAATATTTATAATATCTGTTGCTTAGAGACGGCCATGGGCGTGCAGGTGAAGGCACAAAGTGATCAAGAATTTCCGTATATAAAAGCGCTAAAAAGGTAAGCTTAGACAACTTAAACTATGACAAATTCAATTAATTTGTGTAGAGTCTAAAGGCCAGTAATTAAAATGTAGAGCATGTTTGCACGTAATAATTTCGCTCACTTTCAGCGTCGTTAATATCCAGCCGGATCGCATGTTCAAGTTCTCACAACGTTACGAGTGGCTCTTTAGACTGACGGCCCCATTGTTGCATTTGAAGCTAAAGCGAGATATTCGCATCATGCATGACTTCACCGACAAGGTCATTCGAGAGCGAAGAGAGGCGGTGGAGCGGGCCAAGGCCGACGGCAGCTACCGACCGTTGTGTAAGCTGATAGAGATAGGAGAGATAATTTTCCATCAGTAGAATAATCATCATCTGATTTATCGCAGGTCTGGGCGATGAGGACATAGGCAGAAGGCCACAGATGGCACTGCTCGATATACTGCTGCAGTCTTCGATTCAGGGCAGTCCGCTAACCGATACGGACATACGCGAGGAGGTGGACACCTTCATGTTCGAGGGCGATGATACCACCAGCAGCGGAGTCTCGCATGCGCTCTACTGCATCGCCAGACACCCTGAGGTGCAAGCGAAGCTGTACGACGAGCTGCTCCAGGTGCTTGGCAAGAATCGAATGGCGGCAGTCAACCAGGCTCAGCTGCAGGGGCTCAAATATTTGGAGTGTGTCATCAAGGAGACAATGCGACTCTATCCGCCAGTGCCAGCGATTGGCAGACATACCCGAAAGGATCTCCAGATTGGCGAACAGACCATACCGGCCAATACCAGCATCTATTTGGTACTCTACTTTGCGCATCGCGATCCCAAATACTTTCCGGATCCGTTGAGCTTTAAGCCGGAGCGCTTTCTAGATGATACGACAGACAAGCGACAGACATTTGCCTATTTGCCATTCAGTGCAGGACCCAAGAACTGCATTGGCCAAAAGTTTGCCATGCTCGAAATGAAAACGTTGATCAGCAAGGTGATCCGACATTACGAGCTGCTACCCAAAGGGCCAGAGGTAAGCCCAATGATGAACTTCATATTGCGCTCGCCAACGGGCATGAATGTAGCTCTAAAGCCGAGATTCGAATAGGAATCGAAAGTTTGATAGATGTATGTTAAAGATTTATATTGGGATCGGGCAAGTTTCGGGTTTTACTTATAGAGTATTCAAAGATTGTCAACTAACTATTCAGGGTACAAATTATTACAACAGTATAAACTGCATTGAAACTCATCGCAATGCGTAAAGCACATGCATTCCATTATCTATATTAGATGTTTTGAGTCATAGTACTAACATTTGCCAGATTATAAAATTAGGCGTCTCTGGAGAGGGAGAGGAAGAGCGGGATTCAGTTCTGTGTTTGTGTAGCAAATCAGCGCAAAAGTCATAAATAATAGTTTATCTTTTCAAGAAGAGCGCAAATAATGTGATGCAGCTATGCAATTTAAAAGGCGCCACTTCTAGGGACTTGCTGCGCTAAATTATAGATGCAATAAATGAAAATAAAAGTGCAATTCTTATTTTCTTGGAAGTCAGAAAGTAGATTAAATCGGATTTAGTTTCCACACCATTTCTATATGCCACTGTGGAATGACGCGCTGCGAACATGTGAGTAAATAAACAAGCCAGCGGATGGGAGAATATTTATCTAGCATCATTTGAAAATTCGCAAGACGATAAGCAAGGAAATCTTATCAGCTGCCTGGCAGCAGACGTCTTATAGAGTCTGCGTATAAAAGCTGACCAAAACAGACGCACTGCGCCAAAAGCAACTCACCTGCTCTGCTAGAGATATGTCGCTCGGATCTGTGAAATTAATGCTATTCCTGGCGCTGATACTGGCGGCCGCCTCTGCAGAGGGCGTGATCAGGCCACTGCCGCCCTATGTGGGACTGCCGACCCAGGATGGTCTAACCCGGCTGTTCTTCAACTCTCGGGTGACGCGTCGCGATCCCAGGACCTCGGTGTCCTGCTTTGCCGGCTACATTGGCGAATCGAATCTAATTGCGGAGCAGTACAGTGGAGCCTACACCGGATGCCTGCACGAGGCGCAGAATTCACGGCGCGGCATCGACCGAGACTTTCTAGCTACGCGCCGGAGAATCGAACAGTCGGCGGAATCGGTTTGTGGTACCCTAAGAGTCTGCAGCAAGATTAACGGCACCCTCGACTCCTTCAACTGTCATGCCGCAGCGGTAAGTAGTGTCTCCTTTCCCTTCCCCCTGCTGGTGCCGTATTTTAAACAGAATTTGACAGGGTTCGAACAACACCATTTCGACGTACGGCATCTCGGGCAATGCCTCGGAGTCGGCCACGCTGCTGCAGGAACGCTATCGCCTGATCGATCTTCATCATGAGCAATGCAACCACAAGGCGGAGCGCACTTACGTCGAGTCAACGGCCAGCAACTACAACTACCTGCAGGCCTGCCTCGACGGGCGCATCAAGCCGAAGCCATTGCCCAGCAGCACCAGCTCCACCTCAACGACCACAACGACCACGACTACAACAGAGGCACCAACAACAACAACAACAACCACACCGGAGCCAACGACTACGGAAAGCCCAGCCAATCTGGAGGATCAGTTTAAGCAACTTTTAAACTTGTTGAACTAAGAATCAAGAATGCATTCAGCGCACTGTTTAAATTCTAGATTCTGCTGTGAGTTCTTTATTAAACATTAAATATTAGACATCAGATAGTCGCCCAACTAAAGTAGATAAACTTTGTGACAGCATTAATAACTATCACCTTGATATGCCCACACTCTTAAAAAGAGGTTAAAAGGGTATAATGTATTTGTGCAAATGTATGTAACATTCAGAAGAAAGCATATCCGACCCTATAAAGTATATATATGCTTGATCATCATCAATAGCCGAGTCGATCTAGCCATGTCGGAAGGATCTTAGAACCTATTAGAGCTAGAGACAATTAAAATCTAGAGAAATCTAGTGCCCGAGCAGTACGAGTTGACTTCCGATAATCAATAACTTGCCCCGTTTTATAGCTATAGCCAAGCGCGAGCAGCATTTGGTGTTGGTAGAAGCGGGTGCAGGGTATCCCCTAGTCGGGAATTCCCGACTAGAGATGCTTACTTGACTAACTATTGCTTTTTTACTACTAAGAAGATAAAGCAAAAACAGAACTCACAAATTGTTGAGGGGCTCTTCCGCCTTTATTGACACTCAAAGAGCAATAATCATTAGATTAATTACCAAAATGGAGAGTCAAGAAATAGTATTAAGAATTATGCTGCTTATAATAGGATCTTTAAAGCACATTTTAACAGCCGCAACTTCAAGGAGTTTTTTCATAGTCGAAGCCAGAAAATTATGCGCGTTGTTATAAGAGCATCAAGGTAAAAAAAATAACACAGACCCACGCCAAGTCAAAGTTGGAAGCACGATTTGCCTTTTATTGTGGTGAGTCTTTGCCTTTTATGTTCGATTGCCGAGGCGGCGTCATCTCAAAGTTGTTGATTTCTATTGAATTTAGTTGTGTAGGGCTCGGGAGACTAGAGCTTACACACACAAACACACACACACACACACACCTGTTTCCCCAAAGCAGGTGGCTTGTTTATTGGCACAATTGGCGCGGCGTTCGAAGCAGCGACTTTTATGGCCCGACAAGATCGAATGGAACGCATAGTTCCAGTTTAATGTGCACGTGAATGTGAATGTGAATGTGTGTTATTCTTGGTATCCGACAATTGCGCCAAATTCTTCTATGCGTTTTATTGGAAATGCTGCAGCACGTCGCAATTGCAATCGAATCAGCCTTGGTGAAGCAGGTTTCGTGGGCCTGCGGCTCTATTCAGTTAATAGGAAAAACAAAAGGAAACTAAAAACCAGTTGGCGTAAGGTGTTTTAAACGTGAGTGCAAGACTGCTTTAGCAATAAAATTGATGCTATAATCATTGGGTCTTGGCTGCAGATGATAATTAATAGAAAGCCAAGTGCCACATGAACAGAAATCAGACAAATACATTAATTCACACCTTATAGAGTGAGGAAAGCCCAAACATGTTGTACTCAGAATCAGTTATTAATTTGATGTTTTTATTTCAATCTTTTAGTTAATCTTATCTTTTCTTTCTACTATTCGTGGTTGATTAACTGCAATTTCTGAAAAGATCTCCAGCAACATAATAGAATTGCTCATCAGCAATCAATATTTTATGATTTTTGCTTATATTAAGCAAGCTTTAGGCTATGACTAAAACCAAGTACGCACACTTTTCCCCTCGATTCAAACGCCTCAGGTGTCGATGATGAAACATGAGGCGGCATCTTTGCAGCCCACCTGGGGCCCACCTAAGAGTGCACGGTTTATGCTCGCCATTATTGCGAGCTGAGTTTGTGTTTGGATTCTTGGTAAACGAGTTTTTATAAGCTTTTAACTTATAATGCAAGAAATTGAAATAAAAAATAAATAAAAATATGCTTAAAGTAAATACGTGCCGCAAATCAATTGACTGCTTTCCATAAATAGGTGTGTGTGTGTGTGTGTGTGTGTGTGTGTGTGTGTATGTGTGTGGACAACTGGCCAACTGCAGGTGCAGCTAGTTGTCCCCAAAACCAGAAAACAAAATACAAAATAAAATGTAAAAAAGCTGTACGCAAAACTAGTTTTGCGGCAACAACAACACGCTGCACAGAAAAGGAAATCGTCGGCGTTGCTGCCTTTTAAGGCATTTGCCGCTTGCCCCTTGCTGCGTGTTGCGCATGCGCCCCGTGCTATCAGTTTCAGGTGTGTGTGTGTGTGTGTGTGTCACACGTATGTGTATTCAGGTCATTCGCATTTTCACATTTTAAGGCGTGTGTGTTTGCATGTTTTCATTTCGGTAATGCGCCTCACTTGTGTGGCTGCAACTTTTACTTGCCCCGCCTCCAGGACAGCCCGTTGCACTGGCATTGCTTTTGCTTTTGCCTTGCTTGTTACTTAATTGCGCCAAAGTCATTAATAATCGATTAGCCATATGCGCCGACCTGTTTTTTATGATCACATGGAGGATGCCGCAAAGGAAATCGCAGCGAGGCAATTACGTTAACTCTGCTTCGATGTACTCTCAGCTGGTTGCATCCTGCATGACAGTTTGCATTTCCTGCGTTTCATTTAAATATAATTTTTTTTTAATATTTCTAGAGCTGAGCGACACAATTAACAGCGCTGTTCCTTGGTGGTAACAAAAAGAAATGTCAGGCGATGCAATGTCGAATCTATACCTTATGACACAAACTGACAGTAGCCGTTCGAAAAAAAGGTCAAATAATATGCCAATATGCGTAGATTACGAGGAGAATCAATCTAGAATCTAGAATCAATCTGTTCTGGCAAAGCTATAGAAGTTTGCAGTCATTTTCTAGGCGCTGACCCTTTTCCCACAATTGATTTAAAATTGCCTTAGTATATGACAGGAGTATGCTTCAAATCATAGGACAGCAGGGCTGAAGGAGCCTCGTGCCTCGCTCGCGGATCCAAATCAACTCAATTGATTAAATAAACATACATATATATATATATATAGCTCAGGAGGCATTTGCAGAAGCTGCACTCAAAGGGAAGGAAGTTGTCCTCCAAGTGTTTGGAGTGGCAGACAACACAAAGGAAACTCAATAGCGCACAGCACAGATGCAGATGCAGAAGATCCAATGAACCAGAGATATGAAGAGACTGGGCGACAACAATGCTGAAATAGTAAAATGCCCGATGATGATGATAACGCGGCCGAGACAAAGCAATGCCCCACAGACAAAGCGTTTGCTTTGAGCTGACAGCAAAGTCGGAGCTGGAATTATTCTACTCTTTGCACTCGCTCCCGCCCCAAGCGATTCGAATAGTTGATTTGCCTCCGCACGGCCAGCCGCAGATTTATGAGCAGTTCCTCAGACAGCGTGCAACGTGCAGCGTACAACGTGCACCATAAAGTATAGCTGAGACTTGGCCAATTCAGTTCTTGGCCCAGCTCAGACAGGGCAATAATCTTGCACGCAAGGTTCATTGTACCAGGCCACGGATGCTGACTCCTTTTCCTTTCTGTTGATATTTTGGCCAGCTTCTTCTTTCTCAGGGGACAACCGACTCAATATCGATAGAGTATCTAGTATAAACACTTCCATCAAATAGCTAAGCCAGGCCCATGTCAGCGTTACCCAACTGTTTGCTATTAATTCTCATTAAAATGTAATTAAATGCGCACAGTTGAGATAATCAGAATGATATTTAAAAAACATTTCCTGCTCATGTTGCTGTACAGCTTAATTCCATTAAATTAAGATAACGAAACCCGCCGTAATTTTATTATATTTCCATTCTGGCAAAACAATAGGTCGTTCGAAGAAAATTAAAATTTGAAACTTGTTTTTCTTTTATATATTTTGCTTGGAATGGGAAACTAATAAATCTAAACCCGAGTTGATTTCAGCATAAGTTGATTTAGCTTTTAGGCATTCCGCACACATAAATGTAAAAGTTAGTTAGAAAATAGAATGACAGAAAATTTGTTACAAAATTAGGATAGCACCATAATACCCTTTTCACACGTTTTTCGCAGCTTACAGGGTATGTTTACTCATAACTGGAAAAAACAGCTGCAGCATGCGTAAACATCTAACCAGAACAGAAGCATAGACACAATATAACAAAAGAGTCAACGTACTGTGCATTGGCTTGTGTAATACTTAAAAAAGTCAAAAAACGTCAACATCTGGCTATAAAATGTGATCAGGTTTGGCCTAAAAATGTACTTTGTAGGTAGAGCAACAACATGAACAGAGATAAAACAAACTTAAAGTTCGAGTTGGGCCAAACAACTTCATCCATTTCGATTACTCTGCAGCAAGATTTCCCAACAAAAGTATTTATAGCTCTGTCCAGAGAACTTTATGCCCCAATGCATCTGGTTTTTATTCGGGGGGAGGGAAACGTATAATTTATAGCCTGCTTGTTTCTCCATTTTTCCATTTTCCATTTTCTAGCTGTGCCTCGCAGTGCTTACCATTTATAGAAATGTGCTCCTCTATCGATAGATCACAGGTCACGACCGAATGCCGCATTAAAAGCGTTGATAATTCATCATCGCATTCGATGGAGATCTGAAGATCTGCCTGCAGAGCTCAGTCGGTCTATCAATTCAATTATGAGAGCAGCAGGGTCACATATGTCTGCATGTGGAGTATGTGGAGCCGTAACAAGAAAATTTACGGTCAGGGCAACGAAGCTTTAATGCCCTAACATATCGTTGACATGAATTCTAATAATTGCGTTTTGACAGTTCATTATAAGAAACTGCTCTAAAAAGTCGTATAGATCTTTTATAACTATGAATGTCGAACAGCTGTAGATAACATATTTAATTCGAATTTTCAAAAAGGCCATTTTAGATTAAAAGCTGAACGCTCCCGTCTGGCAAATACCTCTAGTTTTCTACATATATATATATATATATATACATATATACATCTATATATGTATGTATACATCTACCATATGCTAATATGCAGTAAATGTAGTTTCGTCTCGCTCACATCAGATGATTAACCCGCAGAGTATTTCACTATTTTCATTGCTAATGCATTTGTCGGCGTGCTTTATTAGCGTTGAGGCTCACGTTTATTACGTGACGTGGAAAAGGTCAGCTTATAGAAGGTATAGATGTGTACGGGGTGCATTTGAATCATTGTTGCGCCGTATAAATGTTAAGACAACCGCAGTATTTCGAATTATCAGACAAGTCTTGCTTATCAAAGAGAAGGCGCTTTTTGTCTATTTATGGACAATCGATCCGCGTGCAATAATAATAATAATAATACTAATGCATATCAAACTGATTATAGACAACTTATCTAACATACATTTATACATAAGTAAGTGGCTGGCCCATAAGTCAAAGAAGTCGACATACCCAAAATTTTCTATTTATTTTGTTGGCAACCACAAATTATGCAAATTCAATGAAAGCGAAAAGGCATAGTTTTTGCAGTCTTTATTTACTTTTTGACTTTACTTTTGTTTATTTAATTTGCCTGGAGGTTGGTTGAAACAACATATATTACGAAACACAACAAACAAAATAATAATGATAGGTCTGATAAGAAGGCGGTAGAGCAATATGCGATAATTCCAACTGAATTGATTGTTGTATTTGAATGTTTTGTAATATGCAGAGATAATGAGAGCGTGATTGATTGATTGATTGATTGAAGAAATTAATATCTATGCTTAAAACGGGACGACCTTGAGCCAAAATATTTATAACAATAGTAAAAAAGACTTCATCTTAGCGGTGCCGACGTTGAAATACCCTTGACAGACAGACGAACGGACATGGCTGTATCGACTACGACAATCAGTAATATATTTTAAAACACATTGTGGCGTCTACTTCTAAGCATTTCACAGACGAAATTATTTAAAATCAACATACCCTTCCTTAACTATGTTACAGGGTATTTCGGACAACAAAGCGGCAACAAATACAACGATCAGTAATATATAGATAAATACGCATTGTGTTTATTTTGACAAAAACACAGACGAATTTTAAAATCAACATACCCTCCCTTAAATATGTTACAGGGTATTTATGGCAACAAAGTCGAGCTACAAAGCGGCTGCAAAACTGTAAGCACCAACAGCAACAGCAACAACAAAATACGCAAAAAGCAATAGACCACAAATGTCCAAGTGCAAATACACAGCAACAGCAACAGCAACAACAAGAGAAAAGGCAACAGCCGCATAAAGTAAGTAAAACAATAAGAATATTAAAACAACAAAAATCTGAGTCGCGGCTGCTGCTGCTGCTGAATCAGCGAATTTTTCAATGGAAGCGAGCAAGGCGATTTACAGTTTTTGGTTATTTTTTGTTGTTGTTGTTGTATTCTGTTTTTATCATCATTACTGTTGTTGCTGGCTGCTTGTGTAGCTCGGTGCAGCAGGTAACGAAGAATGGCGCAAAAGGGGACGAAGCGACAAACGGTCTGTGCAAAACTGGTCAGCTTCGAATAGTATTTGCTCTTTTTTTTTTCTTTCTGTCTCACTCTTGCAAGTACTAAAAACTACCCATAACGAGAAGACGATTGCTTCAGTCTGAGCTGTTGTTACAAACCTGTGTTAATAGCGATGCAGCCCACGAGATTCTCTCACGATTTTGTGCTAAGCAGACGACGGCTGTCTTGCTGCCATTTTTACTTGCGCTTTCAATTGAAGCCAATCATTGGATGCAATTAAATTGAGAACTGATCACAAAAGCGAATAGCGAAAATGCAGCCGAAAATGACGCTTGCAGCTGGCTTTTGTTGCTGCAGTTTTTAGTTATATATTTGGATGCATAATATAAAAGAAACACAGTTATACACACTCACAAACACACACACTGAAGCGTAATAACGTTTACAAACAATATTAAATTTGCATATTTCAATTGCAATTTGTGACCGGCACAAAACACGCGCGAACCGAAAGCAAACACGAAAAAATAAGAGCGTCGTCCGCGACGCGTCCGCTCTCGCCGAATGTACAAACCGAAATAGTCTGCTAATGCAATGTTAACATTCTGCAACTCCTCTGTTATACATTTACCCAAGCGTAAATATTACGTTCGCCCGGCGAACTCCATGTTAACAGCGGCGAAGTGGTGTATGTGTTTATGTATATATGTCGTGCATGGAGCGAAGCAACAGCTGCTAATAGTGCAGATATTTTACTATCCACTGCAAGTGACATTTTAAAATATGTTTTGCAAACAGTGAATGTTTTTTTGCATATCCTCTCTCACTTAACAAAAAAACAATAATTCTTAGTAAAAATTAATAATTATTAGTTTTATTATTTATTTTACTTTGTTACTTTGCACAGAACAGCCTTCAATAGTCGAGCTTAAACTGGGCACAGTGCTCTTCAAACTGCAGCAGAGTCTTGAGCTGCTACATTTGCTGACAATAATGAGCAATTCTGTTAAGCGTAGACACAAACCCTCACGGTTAACCTAACCGAACGAGTGTTGCCACCTCGCTTTTTCCGACCATTTGGCAGATCAGCCACATCAGGAGGGGCGCAGGCGGCAAATTTGAACTTAAGCTTAACCGAACATGCAGGCATTTGTTTATTAGTATCACAGCAGGATAAGTGGCAAACAAACTACAGTTAATTGGGATTTTGTCAACTTTATTATTAATAATTATTATTTGTATTCATTTTAGTGTGTCACGCAAAAATATGTGGCAAATTGTTGTGTTTTCATTTTAAATAAATTGTCTATAAAATAAATAGATATTTTTTCTTCCAATATGTATTTGTATATTATTTAGTAAGCAATGCAAATTCAACTTATGATAAACATTTCCATTTATGCATTTATACAAAGTATATTCTATCGCATTTGTTTTTGTTGCACACAATTTGGTAGCTGTTGTTGTTGTTGTTGTGGGTACAGCACCTGCAGTTGACGTTGTTGTTGTTGTTGTTGTTGTTGTGTCTGTTGCGGCGCCTGAACGGGACGCCAATAATAGCATCTGGCAACTGGTTTCACTTTGACAAGGAAACTTTTGCTGGTTCTTTGTTTCGGGAAATTTGCGTTGAATTATTGTTGAATCAATAAACAAAACTGATTTTTAACACAAACAAAAATGTGTGTTGAAATATGAAACATAAACCAAATTTAACAAAATCCCGCTGGAAATTCAGTCAGCACTGATTACAGGGTATGCCAAAGGCAAGCAGCCCTTTTCAATTGAGTTTCTTGTACAATTGCAAATGTTGCTTAGGTGTAAAAAGTTTTGTAGTTTATAAATTACACATTCGTGGAACCAGTCTTGAGAAGCACACACACACACACACATTGATGCACTGTCTGTATGTGTGCGTGTGTGTGTGTCGTGAAACTGTTAGTTAACAGCGGCTTGTCGAAATATGAAACATAAACCAAATTTAACAGAATCCCACTGTAAATTCAATCACAACTGATTACAGGGTATGCCAAAATCAATCAGCTCTTTTCACTTGCCAATTTTGCTTAGGTGTAAAAAATGTTGTAGTTTTGTAGGTTATAAATTACACATTTGTGGAACCAGTCTTGAGAAATGCAGACACGCACACACTCATTGATGCACTGTCTGTCTGTATGTGTGTGCGTGTGTGTGTGTGTGGTATTTACAGCTCACCCGTGAAACTGTTAGTTAACAGCGGTTAGTAGCAAGTGGTTAATACATTAACAGCGCACAGCACAGGAGGAAGCAGTTGACGATGGACTCGTGCTGGGACGTGGACTCACCCATCTGGCTGCTGTTGCTGTTGCTGCTGCTGGCGTCGGCGTCGGGCAACGGCGCTGTTCTTGATGATGGCCTCGATCTCGCGACCGCCGGAGCTTTCGCCTTCGGAGGCGGAGGCACAGTTATTGTGGCCGGCAGCCGCATCGGCGGCGGCGGCGGCGACACGCGGTGAGCCTATCGAGGAGAGGTTGCGCACCAGACTGACTGTATCATCGTGCTGGGCAGCATTCTCCTTGGGCACACTGCGCAGTATCTGGGCCAGGTTGCGTCGTTGCGGATTCGTTGAGCTGTTGTCGGTTTCATCCGAGCCGGCGGCTCGCGTCGCATTTGCTGTTGTTGCGGACTTACGCAGATTGGAGACAGTCGCATGGGTGGAGCGCTGGAGGCGACTCTTGAGCTCCGCATTGAGATCAATGGGCATGAGGCCGCGACCCATGCCGGCCAAGGGCTTACCACTCTTCAGTATGCCCTTGAGACCCTCGGCGGGTTTACCTATACGACGAGAGAAAAGTGTTATAAAGTGCCTCGAAAGAACATGCGTAAAGTCTAAACTCAGTCTCAAAAAAAAAAGATTAAGGCAAAAATAAATTGCATGCTTGAACGTTAAGATTGAGAAGCGCATAGAAGGGCGTGCAGTGCGCGTATGTGTTGAGTACGGATTGAACTTTCTTGAATTATTAATTTATTTACTGGTTCGATTCGTATTATTAAATATTACAAAACAAAAATAAATTGCATGCTTGAACGAACAGTTTGATTGCCAAAATGAGAAGCGCATAGAAAGGCGTGCAGTGCGCGAATATGTGTTGAGTACGAATTAAACTTTCTTGAAGCACAAATATTGATTTATTTACTGTTCAACGACGATTCGTATTATTAAATATGACAATAATAACTTTAATGTTTAATAATAATTTAATAATATATTATTAATGCCATTTAAGGTACAATTCGTTTATGTTTAAATAATTAATAAAAAAAGGGCATAAATAAGCACACATTTAAATTATAATAAACATAGTAGTAATTCATAATTAATAACTCTTTACTGGAAGTTCTTAAACTTTACGTTATAGTCACATTTTCATTTGCCATAATTAGCTGGAATTAACTGTGGGAATTAAAACATATTAGGAATAAGGTTCCATATATTATATATAACTTTTTCGTTTCGCTTTAGGGATTTGTCTTTATTGTTAATTCGATTCGTTTTGAGGATCATCTATCACACAAATCACAAAGGTCGCCCCGTATTATTCTTCTTTTTTGGAGGTAAAAAACAAAAAAAAGAGCGCTCCGGACGCCGAGAGTGAGAGCACAACAGTTTACAAAATCGCTAATCGAAAGGGGAATATTTTTTAGTTTTGGGTTTGGAAACAATTCGAAAAATTTGTGAAATTTTTTATAGGTATGCCAAAAATGTACAATTTTTCATGTGCCCAAAATCTCGCCACACAAACGCCGAAACTCCTGCCCGGCCGCATGCAGTTCGTCCGCCGTGATCACAATATCCTCATAGCTGGCAATGCTCCCGCCCCTCGATAAGTTGCCATTGCCCCGTTTCGGACTGGGCATGGCCGTGGGGCTGACGCAGCCGGACGTCTCGAAGGACATGGCACGGGTGCGCTTGAGCAGCTCCCGACGCCTCTGGACAATGCCGAGGCCAAAGCCAAAGCCTTGCAGCGGATGCGGCAGACGCACGTGCTCATTGAGCGCCTCCTGGGGCTGCTGCTGCTGCGTTTTGGCTGGCATGGAGCGTGTCTTGAGCAGCGTCGTGGTCGAGTTGTAGCTCTCGTCGAGTCCGAAGTACTTGGCGAAGCGCTCGTCCACCTGCGAGCGATTCGCCGAGCGATTGCTTCCGCCTCCTCCGCCCAGCTCTGTCGTGTGCCGGCGATTGATTTGCGGCGCCTTCTGCTGCACCGTAATCTGTGCCAGGTGCGTCAACTTGCGACGCAGCTCCGGTATATGTTGTGACGTCGTCTGTGACTCTTCCTCTCTCTTCTGCTGGTTGGCGGCACAGTTCTCCTTGCCGGAATCCGAGCTGTCACTAATCGTCGAATGGAGTTCCATTTTGGCCGACTTGCTCTGGGAGGTGTCCGTGGGCGTGGACGTGGACGACTGCTGCTGCTGCTGCTGCTCGATGAACGGCGACTTGATCTTGCCAATGGTCCGTACGCCCATCGAGATGTGTATGTCCTCCAGTGTCTGCATGCGGCCCAAACAGCTGTTCCGATGCCCGTTGTTGTTGCTGTTGTTGTTCTTGTTGTTGCGATCCGTGAGGAACGTATCCGGCAGCACCAATTTACCCACCGTCCGCAGTCTGACGCGCCTTGCTGCGGTGGGCGCCGCATCGAGTAGGGGTGTGGTTATTGTCGCTGTTGTTGTCGTCGGCTCCGTTGCCGAGCGGCTTAGCTCATGGAAGCCACCATTGTGCAGCGGCTCCTGCTCCTCCTCCTGCTCCTGCTCTGGCGCCTGCTCCTGCTCTGGCGGCAGCTTGAGGTCGTGTATGATAGGCGAGCATTCCATGGGCGTGGGCGTGACGCTGGCGCTGCTGCTGCCCGTTGTGCTGCCGCGCGGCGTGCGCTCCATCATGGAGGTGTAGGGCGGACTGCGCGAGGAGCTGGACAGGCGGGCGCTGCCCGTGGCAACTATGTTGCCGCCGCTGCCACAAGCGGCACCCTCGCATAAGCTGCTAAAGAAGGCGAGCCGTTCGGCCAGCGACAACGATGACGGTTCTGTTGGCATGGGGGGAGGAAGGAGGAAGGAGGATGAGTTACAAATTCTCTTTTAGTAGGTTATTTGAAGGACGAGGGGGGGGGGGGGGCGTGGCTGTGTGGCAGCACTTACGCATCCTTTGACTCTCTTTTGAGCACTACACGAAGTTCTTGTTGTTGCTGACAAGTTGTTCCCTATGTTGCGGATTTTAATCCAAGTTGCAAGTTGCAAGTTACAAGTTGCAAGTTGTTGTTGCTGTTGTTGTTGCGATGAGTATCCGACTGACGTGCGTGTTGCGTTCGTACCTATTTGTCGCCCGTTCAATACTGACCACAACTTTTCCATGGAACTCTTGGCTTCGCTCTGGTTTCTTCATAGAAAGTTTTATAATTTGTATACTTTTTTTTGGCGATTTGTCATGTGTCTTTTGTCCGCGCACATCAGCTGATTAGCTCTTTGTTCTCTTTGATGCTGCTGCTTTAAATTTTCATTTTCATCGCAGCTTTCGATTTTTTCTTTCTTTCTTCTCTTTGTACGCTTTGTGCACAACTAGAAATACCAAAACTGAATACTCTGTCGATAACGGAGTGAGTCGAGTGAATAAACCACAAAATGAGTCAAAATGGATCGGTTAGAAATAAACTAATTACATATGTTGGGGTCGGTGAGTGTGTACAGGGTGTTTTTTATACCCTTGCAGAGGGTATTTTAATTCTGTCTCGAAATGTGTAACGCATAGAAGGAGACATCTCGGACCCCATTAAGTATACATATATATTCTTGATCCCGAGTCGATATAGTCATGCTATCGTCATAAAACTTTGCACTTCTCTCTTTCTGTTGCACACGGTACACATGACGAAACCAGCTGGATCGGATAACTATATCATATAGCTGCCATAGGAACAACCGGTCGAAAAGTAGGTTCTTATATGATAAACTTTTTTGTTTATCCAGATATCTTGACCAAACTCGGCATTAACTGTTTTCCCTGTGCTTCTTTGATATGGGCAAACCATTATGAGCATTATAAAAAGGTTCGGTCTGCAAGGGTATTAAATCTTCGGCGTGCCGAAGATAGCTCTTCTTTCTCGATTCTATTCGATCTGTTCTGTATGCTTTCTTGAATGCATTCTACTCTTTCGTTCTGTGGCATATAAAAAAAAAGGTACCGAGCCGTAACTGTCACTAACTAATTTATCCATGCTCATCATATTTGCATTGAAATAACTCGCATTGTTATCGAATTGTTTGTTTTTTTATGGCTCTTTTCTTATCGCCACAATTATGGGACTTACGCCTTTAGACTGTTAATTGTAGTATCCAGTTCCTCAAAATTCAACGCTGATAACGATACAAAAGCCAAGGTTCGTATATTCGAAAATAGTGGTTCGCTCACTCGAAAATAGTGGTTAAATCACTCGAAAATAGTGGTTCACCTACAATATCTTTAGCCCGACAAGGAGGAAGCCAAACTCCCCCAGAAAAAGTGGGTAAAGTATGGCACTACAATTATGAACGCTTAATTAAATGTACTAAAAGGTATCGAATAGTTTATGAAACTAAAAATCAAAACTAAACCGAAAAAAATTAGCCAAATGAACGAGCAAATATGCAACTGAAAATCAAAATCGAATCTCAATTATATAAAAAACATGTGTAAAAAATAAAAAATGAATTTGTTATTTGTTGTTCATGCAGCAACAACAACAACAACAACAACAACGGCAACAGCAACAACAATTATTTTGTTAGAAAACTTAAAATCCAAATGCATGCCAAAGAAATTATTAGAAAAATGCATTAGTATATATGTATGTATGTATTTTCGAGTCTTATTTACTTTGGTTTTTGTTGTTTTTTTGTTGTTGTTTTATTCTCTCTGTTCGCATTGCGCAATTTAGCGCTGGTTGCGTTTTTAATTATTCATTTTTGTTTACTCTTTTTTTTTAATGCCTTTTTTCCTTTTTGCCGATTGTTTACCTGAACCAGGCAAAACATTTGGCTGATTGCATCATTTTTGGAGCAAGGCGAATGCAATTAGTTAGGCGCGATCAAATCATGAAAAACAGCAACAACAAAACAAGTAAAATATTTAACTTACACTTGGGACAGTCACAACAACAAGAACAACATTCAATATGCAGTTATTTGTATTATTTTTTTGTTTTTCTTTTCTTTTTAAGGCTGTGCTGCGTGCATGTCAGGCACGCAAAACAAAAGAGAGAACAAACGAAACGTAAATATGTATGTATAGAGGCAGCAAAAGCAAAAGAGAGAAGGTGAGATAAGCTCGGCTCTCTCGCTTTCATAGCTTAGCTTTGCTCTCTGCACTTACCGAACTCGACATCGGTAGCATCCTGCGTTGTATTTGGCGTACTAGTCGTTTCGTCGTTTAAAACCGAAGTGTGCAGAGCAACAGCGTCGACTGCTGCCGACGGCGGCGGCGAGTGGTGAGAAGTTGCTGCGGTAGAGAGAGAGAAAGAGAGAGTTAGAAGAAATCCATACAAAACTCTTTTGATTGCTGTTAACAGTTATTGTGTGTGTATGTATGTATGTATGCCTAAGCTTCTTTTTATAGCAAATTCTTAGCCTTCACTCAGGTACTCACGTTGCGCACAATCGAAATCCATTAAAACGTTGATCACAATTTGAAACTTGAAATTTTCATTAAAACTAGATTGTGCACCTGGTAGCGGCTCCATTTTAAAAATGTTTGTTTTGTAAATGACTTAATACGCATAAAAATGTATTGAAGTAACTCTCAGAGCCCTGTTGTTTGACAAACAAATCAAAATATTAAGATACGATTTGTCATCAATCTAAAGTTTCAAGCTAGTTAACTTTCTTTGCTTTTTCCCTCACCCCCCGCATCTCATTCAAGTCAGTTACTCAACGAAAATATAGAAACCTCAATTAGTGGCTGATTGCCAGACTGTGTGCAATGGAGGGAGGGATGGAGGGAGGGACGGACGGAGGGGAATGTTAAGCAAGTGACACACATTTTACAGCTTATTAACTTGGACAACAACCATGCCGGCCATAATGGAACCAACACCACAAAAACAACAACAACAACTATTGCAACAACAAAATGCTTGCGAAATAAATAAAGTGTCGCCCATGGAGCGTTCACTGACGTGGCGTGATGACCAGACCGAGACCCATTGCTTTCCACAAAAACGGAGCATTCTTTATGATGTGTACCTCATGAAGGTGTCCTGCTTAGTTCAAGAGAGTCAATTCTCTCAACCAAGGGAGAATTGCCTTAAGGTTGTCTATTCCTAAAATCATGCTATCTACATGATGACTACATTTAGTATAAAAGTATTTCAGAAACATCTTTATAACAGTCTAAAAGCTTGGTTTAAGAACCGGCTCTTTTCGCTAGTTCACTCCGAACCATACCAGCAGTTAGGACTAGCGTGGACCATGTCTGTGTCATATCATACGATCATACATGATAAGTATGTATATTTCGTCTAATAGTATTTTAGAAACATCTTCGTATACCATATACGAGTATTTCGAAAACATTTTCATAAGGAAATATCAATATGAAGCTGTCAATATTTTAGATAAGTTTTCCTATTTAATTCTAAGAATCTAAGAATTCGTAACCGCCTAAAAGCTTGGTTTACTTGTTCTCTTTTCACTAGTTCTTTTTTACTAGTTCACTCCGAACCATACCAGCTCTGACAGCAGTTATTAGGAACTAGCGTGGAACATATCTGACTCTTGCTGGTTTTTTTTCAATGTAATTGTTGTTGTTGTTGATGTTGCTTTACGCATCGCTGCTCGACTGTCGAAAAAAGCGAAAAAGTTCGCAGTTTTGCCCGAACCTCGCACCGCGGCGTTCTTTCTCTTAATGGCCTAATGCTAATTTCTGTGATGATGTTACTGATGGGATATTTTTTTTCTGTTTTCGTTCACACTTACCTTGACTGTTGACCAGCGAGCGCGACGTCAACTGCTCTCTACCGGCCGCCTCCCGTCGGCTGCGCGATTGCTCTTGCAATTGCTGGAACATGTTGGCACGCGCGCGAACGCTGCTGCTGCGTGCCACGCCCACACCGCTCGATTGTGTGGCTGTGGATGCATCCTCGCCCAACGCCGAGTCATTATCCAAGCCGGACATCTCGAATATGTGTTCGCTGTCGTTGCCCACAGACAGAGTCAGCTGTTCGCTGAGGCTGACGCTGTCGCTGACCGAATGCTGGCGCAGCAGAGACTGCGGCGAATTCGTCAAGCTGGACGTGGATGGCGAAGTGCCTGCGCCCTGGGCGGCGAGATGTACAACGCGCGGCGACTGCAGCGGCTGCGTTGAGCTGCGCGCCAAACGGTACGAGCTGCTGCCGGCGGCCGAAAGCGTCGACGAGGAGAGCAGCAGGGGGGCCGGCACGTGGCTTAACGGTTGTCCGGTGATGGGCGAAATTAACGGCTGTTGCTGTTGTTGTTGCTGCTGCTGAAGCTGCGCCCCGATGCGAATGTCCAGCGGTTTGGTGAGCTTAAAGGCCGACGTCGCCGAGATGTCAAATGGCGCGGAGTTCGCTTTAAAGCTGCAGGCAAATTGAATAAGTTAGGCAATTATATTTGAGATAAGCTCGGGTACAGTATAAATCTCTACATCGTTCCCTCTCCCTCTCTCTCTCTCTCTCTCTCTTTCTCTTTAGAGGCAATCATAATTATGGGCAAAAATTGTTTCCCTACGCTAATTACACGCGTTTTTATACCCTTGCGGAGGGTATTATAATTTTGTCTCAAAATGTGCAACGCATCTCCGACCCCATAAAGTGTATACATATATTCTTGATCAGTATCAACAGCCAAGTCGATCTAGCCATGTCCGTCTATCCGTCTGTCCGTCGGTCTGTTTCTATGCGAACTATTCTCTCACTTTTACGGCTATTGTCATGAAACTTTGCATAAGTCTCTCTTTCTGTTGCACGCAGTACATATGTTTGAACCGGCTGGATGGGACTACTATATCATATAGCTGCCATAGGAACAATCGATCAAAAAGTAGGTTTTTGTATGAAAAACTTTTTTGTTTATCAAGATATTTTGACCAAACTCGGCATTTTTTAGTTTTACCATGCTCTTCATATATATGCAAAATCCTATCAACTATGGACCACTATATCATATAGCTGCCATAGGAAAAATCGGTCGAAAATTAAGTTGTTGTATGAAAAACTTTTTTGTTTATCAAGATACCTTAACCATACACGCCATTAACTATATTCCCTGTACTTCTTAGATATGGGCAAAGCATTGTGAGCATTATGAAAAGGTTGCAAGGGTATTAAATCTTCGGCGTGCCGAAGATGGCCCCTCTTTCTCATTAATGGTGAAATTTGAATGTCGCGCTTCTTTGATTGGCAGCTAGCTCCCAGGTAAAAGTTGAGGTGGCCAATTAAGTCCATAGATTAGCTGCGAATGTGTTTTTTTGCTGAGACCAAAGTGTGTCTAATTTTATGCCCTGGCTGAGGGCATTGTAATGCATTATAGAGAAGATATCTAACGAACTATATTTAGAAGTTCATCTGCAACTTGTTCGGATCTCAGATCTCCATTATGCTAGAGTTTATCAACCAAACAAAACATTAGCCGCATTTTTTATGCAGTGTACAGAAAAAATAGAGAACTATAAATAAACAAAATAAAAAACCAAAAACAGAAACGTTCTAATTAGATTTTTAAAGTGGGCATGGGTGAGAGCAACAATTCCCGAGAGAGAGAGCGCAAAAAATAGAGAAAAAGCAAATGTGAAAATAGGAATAATACAAATTGTGATTAAACGCGAGCAGTTGGCCCGAAACTTGTTGGGCTCGAATCGAATCGATAGACGTGGAGCACATGAATTTATTTGTGACACCAAATTTGATTAGTTTTTTTCAAAGAGTACGCGAAGCACTGAAAATCTATTGAATTTCGGCACTTTTGTGTGGTTAATAAAACATTCTTTTTTATGTATATATTGTGCAATTTTCACAAAATTTGTTGACTTTTTAAAAGGCACTTGAAAATAAATATATGTATGTATATGTGTGTGTGTATTTCCATCTGACTGCACATTTCCATGGATTTATTTTTAGAAGCATTACGAAATTCTGCTTGTGGCACGGCACATAATGTGCCAAAGCTTTTCTATTGGTTATGATGTGTGTAACTACCTATGGCCAAGATTAACACGCGTTTTGGGCCCTTTCCGGCAAAAACGGCGAGTGCCTTTTCCTATAGGTACTGCCCGATAACCGGTGCACAAAGCAACTGGCGACACCTTCGTTTTTCTTTTACCTATGAGTAGTTCTTGAGGTTGAGGCTGATAACGAGCTAGAACCGATAGATTTGATAGTTTTATCAGTTTCGGTTTCGATTTGCTTTTATTACCATTTACTATTTATTTTCTTTTGTGGCGTTGTTAACGACAAACACACACACTTGACACACACACATTTCAAACAGAATTTCCACCGAAATGAAAAACGAATTTTCAGCGGATGCGTACGTGAAAATTGAAACGGACGATCGCGAGCAACTGAGCGCAAAATTCGTACAAACAAAGCGGGCAAAGCGGAGCCGACGATCACCGGCGCCGCTGCCGCTGCTGCTGTCTCTGCCGCTGCCTCAGTCGCAGTCGCAGTCTGCTGCTCTGCCGTTGCGGCCACAGCAAAATTTAAATTATTTTCAGCTTTGTTTTCTTTTTATTGCCCATGGTCTGCATATATATGTACATACGTACACAATACAAACGTATATTTATTTTCGTACGCTATTTTTCCCTCTATTTTCCACAATTTTCAAATGTTGCTGTAAGCTTTTCATTTGGTTTTCTCGGATTTTCTCTGCAGTCCGCCAAAGAGAACTTGAATCGAAGAGCTCGTTTTTAATTAACAACAGCCTATAAGAAACCATTTGGCAATAATCTTATATAGGAACAATCATACAAACGTAAATTCCTATTTCTTTATTTTAAGCGTGCGTTTAAAATTCCCAATCAGTTTTAGTTGGCCCAAAACTAAGTTAAGTGGTGGATTTTGGCAATTGTTGCTTGGCTTTTTTTAAACAGTTTCATGTATTAGCAGAGCCCATTCAACAATCTAATCTTGGAGTTTCAAAATCCATGCTGGTCGCATACTTTTGGTTACCCAACCGTATAGATAATGTTAACTATTAGACAACATATGTACACTTGTAGCACACATCGGCCCTTGACAGCGGCGTTAGCGTTATCTGGCCAATTTCTGTCAATCGCGACTCATCCTCACACCTTTGTATAACCCACTCAATGACGCACTTATCGACGTGTCGATGACTTTTTATGGCTTGCATTTCCATTTCGCATTTCGCATTTCCATTTACCGTTTTCTGATATACGCCTCAAACATTCTCTCGCTGTGTCGACGCTGGAACAACATAAAAAAACAACACAAGAGAGAGCTTAACCCCTGACCGAACCAAGTTCCGAAATGTATCTCTGGACGCGTCCGAATGCGGCAGCCAACTGAATGCAACGTCTACCACGACGACGACAACACGTCCACAATTCCACAAACCCAAGAACCTTGAGACCCCATCGGGAGGGATTGCATGAATACGGATAGCATAAATTACGCGTCACAATGGTTCGCCAACCTATTGACAATACATCGGATCGGATCGGATCGGCGCATGCAAATGTGGGAGAGTGCGAAAAATAGTCACAATAAAAGAGGGGCATACTTTAATGGCCGAAGCTTGAATACCCTACCCAAAAGTGTTGAAAAACTAAGAAAATTTAAAGTTGGTTTAATGTTTTGGACCCGCAAAAAAGGCACCTCGAAAAAGTAAATTTCAAATGAAAAATAAACTGCGAAAGATAGAAACAATAAAAAGGAGACATATTTTAATGGCCGCAGCTTAAATACCCTACCCAAAAGTGTTGAAAGCCTCAGAAAAGGTCTTCTACATAAAAACTTGAAGAATTAGAAACAGGATTTTAAGGCCATGTTATGTGTTTCAGCTTCTACAGATCTACGTCCAAATAAACCCGACTCTTGATATTATTTATAAAATGTTTGACATTTATATGATTTACCTGCTGAAATGTACGTCTGTACAACTTTCGTATACCCTCTTATTTTTTAATGGGCATAGAACAATATGAATACTGGTGGAAATAACCAGAACCAGCTTTTGTTTAAAGGGGTGTGGCAGCGGAACAAAAGCCAAAGCTAATAAAATACTGACACGAAAACCCCGTTAAAAGAAGGTGCCGGCTCGACTTCAGTCGTAACTAGTCTAAAATAGTTATCTGGAAACTGGGTTTACGAACGTGCCATCACCGTGAAATTGTCCAAAAATTCGCCGAAACAGTCAAGTTGAAAATATATGGGCGTGATGAGAGGTTCTAGGTATGGGCGTGTACATACTAATTGCCGAAATGATAGCGTGACCTTGGGTCAGGCTAATTGCAACTCCTCTAAAGTGAACCCGTGTTCACACGAAAAGCCAATTATTATTGTTGTCCAAAGATATTGCGGCAAGTCGATTCGCAAATGTTATCAAAGTTATCTGAGAATAGCCCTCCTCAACAACCTCTGCAACCCACTCAAAACCCCTTCAAGTGGCTCTCAGCAAACGACCTTCTTTTTTTTCAGGCTTTATTGAAGCACTGCAACACAGTTGGCAGTTGGCCTCTGTGGTCAGTCAGGTAATTAGGCAAGCTATAAGCTGCTTAAAGTGACAACAAAAACAAATGAACGGGCAACGGGCGGGCAACAGCAAAATGAGGCTAATAAAAACGAGAAAAAAGCGATATCTTCGGCACGCCGAAGATTTAATACCCTTGCAGAGCCAACTTTTTCATAATGCTTTGCCCGTATCTAAGAAGCACAGGGAAAATAGTTAATGCAGAGTACGGTTAAGATATCTTGAAAAAGAAAAAGTTGTTCAGACAACTTAATTTTCGACCGTTCGTTCCTATGTCAGCTATATGATATAGTGGTCCGATGTTGATAGAATTTTGCATTAATGTAGGAAATATAGTGAAACTTATAAATGGCGAGCTTGGTTAAGATATCTTAAGAAACAAAAAAGTTTTTCATACAACAACTTAATTTTCGACCGATTTTTCCTATGGCAGCTATATGATATAGTGGTCCGATGTTGATAGGATTTAGCATTTATATGGGGAACATAGTAAAACTAATAAATTTCGAGTTTGGTTAAGAAATCTTGACAAACAAAAAAGTTTTTCATACAAGAACATACTTTTCGATCGATCGTTCCTATGGCAGCTATGTGATATAGTGGTCCGATCCAGCCGGTTTCGATATATGTACTGAGTGCAACAGAAAGAGGGACGAATGCAAAGTTTGAGAGACTAATTAGCATAGAAACAGACCGACGGACGGACGGATGAACAGGGCTATATCGATTCGGCTGTTGATACTGATCAAGAATATATATAATTTATGGGGTTGGAGGTGTCTTCTTCTATGCGTTATACATTTCTCGACAAAATTATAATACCCTCAGCAAGGGTATAAAAAACGTTTGTGATAGGCCAAATGAAATCGGAATTGACAGTCTCAGAATCTAGGTTTCAAGGTAGGTCTTAACCGTCCAATAGTCCTTTATTTTTTTAATTGGACAAAAGCAATAACCCAAGAGAGAGAGAGAGAGAGAGAGGGGGGGGGAGAGAGAGGGGGAGACATTATCAAATTTTGGCAACTTACAAGCTCTTCTCCTCGCTGGTTACGGGCTGCGTCTTGAAGCGGTCCTTGTAGAGATCGCGGCGCAGAACGCTGGGCTTGAGCAGCTTTGGCGTGAGGCTCGAGTCGTGCTGCAGCGGGGATGATTCCCAGCTGCTGTTCATGCCACCAGCTGCGCCGGCTGAGTGCATCTCCATGTGCTTGACGCGCTCTGCTACCGACATGTTCGATGAGGTTGCCACCAAGTCAACGGTGGCCGACTGCGAGTTGGTAATGGCATCCAAGGCGGCAGCCAGGTCCATGACGGGCGGCGCATCCTGGCGCTCCAGCGAGCGTGTGCGTCGCTTGAGCAGACAACTTGCCGAGTTGTCCGCATCTGTGGCTTGCGTGGAGCAGAGCGAGCGACGCTTGGAAGGCGAATCGGTTTTCAGTATGGGACGCATAATGGTTGCCTCATTGGCAGCCGTGTCATAAGCTTCCTGGTTGACCTCACTCAGGTCGAACTCCTCGCGGCTGCTCTTGCGACTGCTCTTGAGTATGGGCCGAATTTCTTGCTCGTCCGCCTCGCCGAATGATTTCTTCTTGAGAATGGGCTTGGGCGGGCGCGTCGCCTCCTCGCTGGAGGTGCTCTCCTGCTTGAGTATGGGTCGTATTTCGTGCTCCTCCCCATTCCCATCCGCATCGTGGATCCCCGTGATCACGCCGTCATGGGCGGCCAGCTCGGCGGCGGCCAATGTGACTGCCTGCGAGATGGACACATGCTTGGATATGTGCCCATCCGAGGGCGTCGACAGCGAGTCCTTCTTCTTCAGTATGCTGTGAGGCGGCTGGCATTCATTGGCCGACGGACAGCCATCGCTCTTGGTGCTCTCGTAGCTGCTCTGCTTGAGGATGCCGTGTGCCTGGCCGGGACTCAGAGCGCTGCCCGCCTCCTCCAGTGAATTGCGACGGGCCGACTTGATCAGAATGCTGCGCTCGTCCGGCGAATGGGAGCGCGAATAGTAGCGCGATTCATCCAGGCTGGAACGCTTCTTCAGTATGCCCTGACGCTTGCTGCGGCTGCTCGCCAGCGGCGTGTCCAGCACCGTGGCGGAGAAGGTCACCGGCGAGGCATTGCTGGAGGCGCTCGAATTGCATTCGCCGAACGCGTGCTCCTTCTTCTTCAATATGGAGACAATCTGATTGGGTGCGGGCGGTGAATTCTGCGTGGTTGCTGCCGAAGAGGCAGCCAGCTCATCCGTACTCTTGCGTCGCAGTATGGGCGACATTTTAAGATCCTGCGACTGCGGCTCATTAACTGCCCCATCCGCTTCCTGCGCCTGTTCGGCAATCTTCTTGATCTCGGCCAGCTCCGTTTTGGTGCGCTCGTTGAGCTTCTGGCTAATGCCGCGTGCCTGGCGCAGCGACTCCGACTTGGATGTGGATTCGCTGCAGGAGCTCTTCTGCGGCGACTGCAGTAACTCTCGCAGCGACGCAGCGTCATCCCCCGGCAGCAGCGGACGTGCCATGCCCAGTTCGCGGCGTCGACGTCGACGCACAGACGCAGCCTCATCTGTAAGCAAAATGGGACAAGGATTACCTCAATCACAGGATAAATTGGCTGGGACATGCATGACAGTGGGAGCACGTGGAAACAGCTGGGTTGGACAGGTGGAAGCTTTCGTGCAACACAAACTGATGCATATGCAAGATGCGGAATGTATGATGATCCCGTTCGATTGGCTCCAGCCCGTTTTATCCATTGACAACCAAGCTTGACAGAGATTCGACAAATTTGGATGGGCGCTCCTCTGCCCAATTGCCAGCTGGTGACGAGCTCGGTGACCCACTTACCGCTATCCTTGGTGGCTTCCTCGTTGTGGGATCGGTTCAGATTCGATTTACGTTTGGCCGACTTATCGCGATCGGCGCCGCGACGTGGAAGGGGTGAGGCTTCCGGCTAAAATTAGTTGGGATAACTTTACAGCTCTCTATATTCTCGACGGACTACTCACGGTTCGCTTGTGCTTTTGCACGGGACTCAGCTTTGAGTTGGTCAGATTATCACGTGGCCTGCTTCCGCTCTCGTGCTCCGTCTCGGCGCACAGTGTGGAGCTCCTTGGACGCATGCCCGTAAAGTGCAGCTCGCACAGATTCTGCTTCATGGTCACGTTGTTGGCCGTGGCCACCAGTGGCCGGCGCTCGAGAGGCTCCGCTGGCTGTGAGGCGGAACGTGCCGGCTGCAGCAGGCGGGCGGCACTGCAGCTGGGCTCGGAACTGAATCCGCCGCTGCACTTGGGCGACAGCAGCTCCGAGCTGCTCAGTCGTCGAGCCGGCGGCGTTGAGTGCGTTCGCAGCGAACTGGGAGAACTGAAACGTGGCCTCTGCTGCTGCTGCTGATCCTCCTCCTTTTTGCGGTCTGTGTGTTGTGTGTGTGTGTTGCAATGGTTGGGAAGACAGCATGAAATGGAGGTTAGTTGGAATCTTCAGCACAGCAGGTTAACAACTACTACAACAAAGAGGAAGAGCTTGGCTGGACATTAAGGAAACCATCACCAAATGGGAAGAATCATGTGTGCGTGTGTGCAGTAGAGGGAGGAGGAGGAGCTGACTTGTGGGTGACTCACCGAGCGCTGCGGCACGCAGTCGACTGGCTTTGGTTGTGCGCACCGCTGGCGAGGATTGGGGCGAGGATGAGGAGCTGCTCAAGAGCGGACTGGCCTGCGGGGGCGTGGCAGTGGACGTGGACGCGCCGATAATGCGCAGCGGCGATAGCAAATTTTTGCGCCGCTTCGAAGGTGACGCTGCTGGCGTCGCTGCCGACGTCGCTGTCGGCGTCGCTGCTGCTGCTGCCGCTTTGAGCACAATTAATGGCGTGGCGAGAGGCGGCATGGGCGTGGCGTGGCTAACAATGTGGCAATGTTGCAGTTGACTGTTATTGTTGCTGCGACTGAAGCGACTGTGGCTGCTGCTGCTGCTGCTGCTGCTGATGTTGTTGTTGTTGTTGCAGGTGAAATGAATGCTGCGTTTGTTGTTGTTGGCGCTTCCAGAGGAAACTGTGTTGTGGCTCGCTGACATGTTTTCAAGGATATGCATGAATGTATGTTTGGAAGACATTAAAGCAATTGATAACTGGTTATTTGCTGTGTGTCGCGTGTGTGTGAGTGTGTTTCGCGTGTGTGTGTGTGTGTGAGATGTAGACAATTGCAACATATGCAATTTAAGTAGCAATAAAAAAGGGTGTGGCACTCGGCGATTGATTGATCGATGCGGGCAACTGGCTTTTATTTTCGTTCAAATAAAAAGATGTCATAACTGGCGAAAGCTGCGCATATTTTAAGTGCTGATGAACTCAGCCAAAATGGCCATAGCAAAAATATTGCAAATATTAAAGCAATATATCATTGTTTTTCCCTGCTCTAGCACCTCTCGAGTCGTTTGCCCATTTGACTTGGGTAAACCTTCTAAATGAAGAGAAACAAGCTGACGCGAACAGCTTCGGTTCATTGCCACTTCTGGCTGTCCGTCAGTCAAAGATCAGTCAACTTTTTGGCCCGAACATTGCCCTAAAAAAAAACCAAAAACCTGCCCCATGTGGCAACAGCGACCACAGCCAAAATAAACAAAGAAATGAAATTAATATCGGATAAGTCCAAACAATAAAGTCGAAATGGGCAACAAGCCCCCAATAAAAAAGAGAGAAAAAAATGTGTATAAAAAATATTATTGCAAAATGGGTAAGTAATGAAAAAAAAGCAGGCATGGAAAATTTAGCTTAAACACTTTTTGATTTATTATTTAGAACTTTTCTTGTTGTGGCAAAATAATACTAATTTGGTCAGTTTCCAGCAGATCGACTATGTAAATTGATCTATCAAGTCTATCAGACACTTTCTCAAGCTCTGCGCCCCGTTATGAGAGTTGTCAACATTTGTTATGAATTTCTTTTACAAATTGATAATAAAAAGCAGATGGCAAAACTTTGAATGAATGAAACATTCGTTTAAATTAAATTGGGCACAGCTTGTCGTATTTTTATTAAATTATTTTTTATAGTTTTATGATGTCTGTCATTTGCCTAAGTTGCGTGAGATCTGGTTTTTACCCCCTTCTTCGCTATACAAATTTTATGCACACAGTTTTATAATGGCAAAAATATTCAATATTGCAAAACTAATTATTAGATCTATCAGATAAAAGCCAAATCAAAGCCAAATTGCTTTAATCGTAATATCAAAAAATTGTTTTGAAATTGTATAAAATTGTGCAAATTATTTTATATAATTTTCTGACATTAAGCCGATACGATACGAATCGATTGAAAGTTGTGTGCAGGTGTATAGATTATTTATTTGTATTTTGATTTTGATTTTTAGCACTTAGTTCGAAGGTCTTTGCAAATGTGTTTGTGGCAAACATTTTCGCTAGATTGGCAAAAGCTGTACAAGATCTAATTTGGTTTAAATTACTTTTAAGTGCTCGAAAGAAACGTGGTAACATTTTCGACTCGACGAGAGTTCAGCTAATTTTCAGTTTCAAAATGTTGACAGCGCACCTTTACGGCTAATTATGGTGTTTATTGTTTAGTGGGAAAGCTTTTTTTGCTACAAAAACTAATGAATCAGAGTAAAGCTAAAGAGCTGCAGAGGGGCGAGATGGACACAAGATATTTATAGAAAGGATGTGCGCTTGGCAAAGGAGAGAGATCTATTGGAAAACCATAATATTACAGACTGAAAGCAGAGAATACTTTTGAATAAAATAGATCGAGTAGGGAAGGAGATGGGAATGAGAAGCATAAAATAGCTGCAGCCATGCAAATATGCATTTAAAGCTTGTTCAAAAGAGAAGTTATACTATGACAGAGAGTACAAATAATATGCAAAAGTTAATATATAATAATGCAAACAAATTACAAACACGCACAAACACAGGGAGAGACAACAGAAGGACGTAGACAAACACGGACACAAAGCAAATATATGTCTATGGAATTATCTTTAGATGCTCCTCGCCGAAACTCACCTGAGTTGATGGATGCGGGCCGTGTGTCGATGACGGACGTTGCGTTTGTCTGGGACGTGCTCTTAGGAACTTCAATGTGCCCGGGCTGCTGCAATTGGTCTGGCGCCGGCGGCTTAGCATGTGTCATCACAGAGGTGGCTGCCGTCTCATAAGCGGAGCTGTTGCCGTTCGCCGACGATTGCGGATCGGTTGCAATTACTTCTGTTGCAGTTGTTGCAGGTGTTGCAGCTGGGTGGAGTCTACGTGTGGGCGATGGCGAGCTGCAGGATGAGTCGCTGTGATAGCCGGCTGGCGGTGGCGGTGACGAGTGCCCGGCACTTTGACGGCTGCCGGAGCGCGGCGTTCGAGTTATGAATCTGCAGGAGAGAGAGAGACAACAACAAATAATATAATATAATATAATATAATAATAATATAAGCTTTGGGCATTTACATGGCGAATGTTTGTATCTGTCGGATATCAAGCCGAGTTATCGCTTGGCCAAAAGGATTGCAATGGAAATGAACAAAGAGTTTTTTGTGGGTTTTGTGTTTTCCGCTAGATGCGGCACAGCTAGACGCCTTCAAACACGCTCAACAACTGCCGACGGCCAAACCGAAAGTATCTCTGCTAACCCAAGCTCGAGCGATCGCACCGACAACAACAACAACAACAACATTGACTACAACAACAACAACAACGTTGACTACAACAACTTCGCAGCAAGCGAAGCTAATAACAAGAGGTTTTTTTTGGGTTTTTGCCGCCGCCTGTTGTGTTGCGTTGTGTGTTTGTATCTTGCAGATACACTCAGACAGCAGACAGCTACAAATTAACTCAAAAACACACTCAAAGCGCCGCAAGGCGAAAAGAGCGAAAATTCGCACATACAAAATATGCTTGTACTGCTGCGGCTGCGGCCAGGTAGCTGAGTTTTCGTCGTATCTGCAACAGAAATAAACACAATTCCTTCGTGTTGTTCCCGTTGTGTATCTTTTATCTTTTCTGCGACGTCTCTGCGACGCAGCAACACATCAAGAACAAAGCGCAACAAGCTATTTACTGTTGGCCAGGTAGTCAAAAAAAAAGATACAAAAGTATCTCAATGTCGACTGTTTGTTGTCTGTCATGTAAATGATATCCATTTGGCTGAAACTAGTCTGCAAATGGTCAGCATATTATTTCGTGAATGTGTTGCAGTTCAATGTTCATTCAGCAAATCACGCAGTCAGTCAGTCGGTCAATAAACTGATTGTTTAAACCAACAAGCAGCTCATTAAAATGTCGCGACAGTCAGAATTATTAACTGAAACAGCAGCAGGATACATTTCGGAATAATTGAGCACAGGAATTTGATTTAGTTAACAGTCTTAAGATACTTTTAACCAGCCCTTGAAAATCGTATAATCCCTGCTCAATCCCAAACAACATCTAGATTTTAGGGTACAGGTTCATTAACTGAAGCAGTCAGGATACATTTCAGAATAATTGGGCATAGGAATTTAATTTACTTAACAGTCTTAAGATACTTTTCATAATCCCTGCTCAAACCCATAGAGCATCTAAATATTAAGGCATCATTTTTAAGGGTATTCGAATCTGGAGACAGCTTCATCATCATTAACTTTTAACATCTGCCAAACGGAAATGTCCAAGACTTGAATACTTTCTGGCAAAAAGATTTGACAGCCAGCTGCTTTTGAATGCATTTGGAAAAGAACTTTCCAACTAGTTGACTGAGAGGCAAGGAAAAGCTTTAGGAAAAAAGGAAAAGTGATGCAGCAACCGGTTGGCAACCACATTTTCGGCTGCGCAGCTGCAGCTGCCAGAAAGCGAAATCAGGACTAGAAGCAGCCGCCAGACGACGAGACGCAATACCTGAGCCGGGCCGGGCCGACTTGGTCTCGACTTGGTCATAAAATCAATAGACGAGTCGAGATGGTTAAGACTGATGCCCGAGCACCGCAGGTGGCTTTCAGAGGGGGAACGGGAACGGGCTCGAGCTACTCAATAAATTCCAAACTTAATTGAACGCATTCAAATTTTCTTGGCTCTCTTCTCAAACAAATTCTACGCTGAATGCATTTTTCTTTTTTTTTTTTTTTTTGACAATTTTCCACTCTTTCTTTTCCTTATTTTTTTATTTTATATAGATTTTTTTTTGGTTGTTTGTCGTCGCTTTTATGAGGCATTTTTGTAGCGAAAGCCGGCGGACGGCCTATGGAAAACTTGTCGCCCGGTTTTCGGTTTGTCGCTTTGTCAGTTAGTCGCTTTGTCGGTTTGTCAGCTTCAGTCATGGGTGTACAACAGGTGCTTTCTAAAGCCGGGTTCCGGGGTTGGGTGTCGGCGTCGGTGTCGTTGTCGGGGTCAGTGGCTGACAGCGTCAATGCGCCATTCGTTTTGATTTATCCCATTATAATTGATGGAGACGTCGAATCGCACTCGCCACGGCGAAGATGTTCCAAACATTCAACTTTGAAATCTCGAATAGAAAACAATGGACACCATAAAAGCACATTATTACCAACAAATTGAACAATATACAGCTTTGGGTTGTTAACAAGATCTGAGTTGTTGTTGTTGTTGTTTTGGGGGCCCGGCTTAAAGGCAACCGCCATCAAATTGTGTAACAATCAGGTCTGAGGAAGATTTGTGACTGAGCTCTAAGCACAATTGAATACAATTTGTTGCAGCGATTAAGGATAAGGGGAGAAAGGGGAGAAGCGAAACATTGGATCTTAGCTGTTTTTAGCTGCGAAGCGACAATAGTTCATCATCTAAAAGTCAAGGCGACGACTGATAATTTCACTTTTATTCGAAATGATAAACATGACAAAAAGAAATCAAACTAAAAAAGACATTTGATCAGGAGCGTATACATTTATGCATTCCAGTATTCGTCACAAAATTCGAATACCCTCCCGAAAGGGTGTAGGTTCAATACAAGCTACACTCAACATTTTTGCTAATGTAGCATTTTTTGATAATGTGAAATATGTGTGCCGGTACGTTTTCCCATAAGAAACAACATTTTTCACATTTGCTAAAAAACAATAATTCGTGTCTTTTGCAATGATTTATCGAACTTTGTATCGATGTTGTGAAAATTATAAATGTATCATCACCATAAACAGCTGATATAAATTATAATTTATGATCCTGATTATGATTTAAATTATCATTTTAAATTTGACTAATCCAACATTTAAATATGGCCAAAGCCCGCAAAGTGTCCATTAAATGGAGCCCCTACTTCAAGGCCGTATTATTTTGGCTTTTGGAAGGAAAATTTTATCAAACCGATCAGCTGTTTATTTAAAGTAGCGGTACTTTTGCCATACACATGTTACCGACAACTGTGACACTTGCTAATGGAATCGCAGAATGTGAAATGTTGTAAATGTAACATATTTTGAGCATAGTGGAATTAGGTTATAAATCAAATCAACCCGATCAGCTGTTTATTTAAAGAAGCGGTACTTTTGCCATACACATGTTACCGACAACTGTGACACTTGCTAATGGAATCGCAGAATGTGTAATGTTGTAAATGTAACATATTTTGAGCATAGTGGGAGATCAGGCTATTCGAAAATCGAAATAAAATGAAATTTCTTGAACAGTTTCACATTATTTTCTTTATGGCGATTTTTTAAAATTTGCTAATGGAATCGCAAAATGTGAAATGTTGTAAATGTAACATCATATTTTGAGCATAGTGGAATCAGGCTATTAGAAAATCGAAATAAAATGAAATTTCTTGAACATTTTCACATTATTTTCTTTATGTCGATTTTAAATCGAAATAAAATGAAATTTCTTGAACAGTTTCACATTATTTTCTTTATGTCGATTTTCTAAACAAATTTGAAGCAAGCAAGGTCAAAATCTATAAGATCTATTGTGTAGATGTAGAGTAAAATGGGAGGTGGCACTTACCTGCGCGCGTTGGTCGCCTGGTGATGATGGTGATGATTGGATAGCGACTGCGACTGAGACTGGGTCTGTTGGGTCTGTTGTGGGTCTTCTACTGCCACGGGATGCAGATGGTCAGGTGCGGGAGATGCGGACAGTTCATGATAATGATGCTGCTCGCGCTGATATGGATAATGATGATGTGGATTATGACCATTAGCACCGTTTATAAACTGCGCGGACTTGTCAATGGTGGAGCTCAGCTCCTGTTGCCAGCGGGCGAGCGTCTCCAAGACCTCGCCCTCCTTATATGTGGCCGATATCAATTCCTGCTGTTCGTCCGCGTCCTCCACCAGCTGCTTCTTGCTGCTGACCCGACGGTTGAGCTCGGGCAGGGTAAGCTTTGGCGGCTCCACAAACATGCGGTCCGTACTAATCGGCTGGCCGTCCATGTAGCTCATCACCAGCTGCGAGGCCGTCGACGCCACCCTTGCAGCAACTGGCTCCAGGCTCTTGGCCGCACGCTCATGTGCCAATGGTGGATCCTCCGCTGGAATTTCCACCGGCTGCAGCTGGGGCTGGGGCTGGGGCTGGGGCTGTGCCTGCTGCTGCTGATTCTTGAGGTAGCTCGACATTGACTCTGAGGGCGGCAGCGAGTTGGCCTTGCTAAGACTCAGATTGGTTGTCTTTTGACTAGAGTGCAGCGCATACGGCGATCCGTCATCGTCGTCATTTTCATCCGTGGAGCCGGCATCGGGCAAGGCGCGAATGCGCTTCTGCTTGGTCAGCTGCTGGCGTTTGTCCAACTGCTCCGATTTCTGGTTTCTGTTAGCGCTGCTCATTGAAGCTCTGTGGAATTGGTGATGCAAGGGCCAAAAGGTCGCCAGCGTGTCGCTTTTGTCCAACTGTTGCAACTGTTGCTCCGGCTGCTGATCCGGCTGCTGCTCCGGTTGCTCCTCGTTGCTGCTGCTGCTGCTCGTGCTCGTGGTGGAATCGCCTACGTCGAGGCCCTTCTCCTTGCATATTATGTCGTAGAGTGCGCTAATTGGACGCGATTCGCTGCGCACACGCACGGCCCGTTTGGAGCGCAGCTGGAAGCGATGTGTGTGGCGACTGTTGCGGCCGGACACAGCAACTACTACGGGGCTAGCCGGGGCTACGGGTGATCTACAACTACTATTGCTGGCAATAGGGCGGCTTAGGGGGGAGGATTCACCTTTTTTTGTAGCGTTCACAGACGGCGGCAAGGATTTGGCGCAGCGTTCCTTGCTGCGTTCCTTTTTGTTGTTGTTGTCCGTGGACACAGAGTCGCCAATTCGAAAAAACGTTGCTCGTTGATTTGTTTGGGCCGCACTTGTCTTGGGAAAGCTGCGCTGCTCCACCAGCTGAGTGCTGGGCGTGCTATAGACACTCTGATAATTCTCATTCAGCGCACCAACATCCGACGCATTCGGCGTATGGATGCGCAGCTGCAGATCCGTGTAATAAGCGGGCGTTGTATGATGATGAAAGTGCGGATGCTGTCCCCGATACAAGATTTGAGCCGAGGAGCCAACTGATGGTTGTTGCTGTTCTTCTACTTGTTGTTGCTGGCAGCTAGTTTTGGCAGTGGCGGATGCTGTGGCTAAGTCACTTGAGGCCGCAAAAGTTTCTGCAAAAGTAGAAAATTGTCAGAGGAAGTCAAAGTAAATGTAATAAAATCTTAATTTGAGTTAAGTTTAAATGCATTGCAGTAAATAACTGGTCCACAGCACACACAGATCCCCCCTGCGGTACATCTCCCTTCTTCTTTCCCTTCTCCCATTTTGCTAAGTAAATCTTGGCAGCAATTAAATTGCACCTGGGCACTCGTATTAATATGGCGACGTCCCCGACAACCGTGTCAAGGTGAGGTGAGGGTTGCACGCTTTTTATAGCGAACACCATCACACAACCGCCCACCTACGCCCACCCACAGCCACGCCCACACAGGCACGAGAGTCTGACTACAAGCTACAAAAATATAAAATTCTGTTGAATAAAATCATTGTGAGATTTTCTTCGAATTGGCGCAAACCTTTTCAGGTGCCTCGACAAAACTGATTAGTAATAATATATAGTTCCGAATAATTGGCTAAGAATAAGCTAATTGGAAAGGTACATATATATATATATATATATATATATATTATTAGCCAAGAATGGCTTCTTCGATGAAAAGAGAAACCACAACGCAATTAAAGTATAGAGAATTTTAATTCAATTATTTGTAAATGCAATTGGGTATAAGAAACAGAGCATATTAATTGAAGGCAGGTGCGGAGTGAATCAAGGCAACTGCTTTAAGTAAATTGTTTAATTGATTTATTTGTGAAAATGTTTGTTCAAATTTGAGTACGCATTTGGTCTGCAATGGGCTTGAACAGGGCTGCCGGTATGTGGGATGTTTTGAACTTTTCAATGAAGTTTCCCTTTTTTTGAATTAAAATTATTTTGGGCAACAAGCAATGGAGGCGTTGCTAATACACAATTGTACCTATTGTTTATAAAATTGTCAGCTATGACAAATGTTCGCCCACGATTGCCCAAATATGCCCTTTACATACAGAATTTTTGTATTTTTACAGGGTATAGCACGTATAGCAGTTTAAACTGATCGTGTGTGCATTCACGCAATCGCTATATTTGTAATAATTTGTTTAGCCCAAATATGCCCTTTATACATATAAGACTTAATTGAATTTTAGTTATAGTTCGGCTGCTTAAAATTAATTAAATATATTTTTACAGGGTATAGCACGAGCAGTTTAAGCTGATCGTGTGTGCATTCACGCAATCGCTATATTTGTAATAATTTGTTTAAGGCGCCCAGCGCGGAATTCTCCACTGCAATTTGCTTGCCAAAATCTAAAACCAGAAAAAATAGATATATGTACAATATATCGTAATAAATAAACGAATCCACAAGAAATGCATTTGCCACATTTCTTGGCAGCTTGCAAACAAACTATTTTGTTTTTGTTTTTGTTGCATGTTAACGATTGGATTTGGCTGTGTGCGGAAAAGTCGGCTAACTAATTGTTGGCTGAAAAAAAAACAAAAAAACCGAGAGTTGATTTCGCGTAACTAAACTGCAAACAACAAAAACAACAACCACGGCAACAATTGGCTGTGCAACATTTTTGTGGCTTCGCCTGTTTATTACCAAACGCTTCTGCCGCTTGTTGCTGCTGCATGTGGCAAGCTGATTGATCGATTGCTTCGCTTTGCCACGGGTTGCATAATTAATATGGAAAGTGAAGAGAGAGAAACAGACAAAACAGAAGCTGACTGAAGCTTAAACCTGCCCCACACTCATATCAAAAATTGTCAGGCTGGGGAGAGAGAGAAAACTTGCCTCGCGCACATTTTGTGGCAGCAAAAACGTTGAATCAATAAACGTACAAACTGCATTTACACAGTCGCAAATCGCGTCTCGACTTGCCCCTGTTTACAGTTGCAGTCTTATTTTTAAACGCAAGGGCAAACTGCCCACGTCGCCGTCAAGTGGCAGACAGACAAACTGACAAACTGACAAACTGTGCCTCCAACAGCCTCTTCTTCGACTCGCCTTAGCCGCTCCACTCTAAAAATAACATTCAAGTTTTTTATGCCGCCTGCCAATGCAATGAACAAATTTAATTATCAACAACAACTCACAGAGTGGAACATCATATCCACATATCGACATCGATATCGAGCCCTGGCAACCTCTTCGGAAATGGTTTATCTTTTTTAAAGAGTGCACCAATAAAATGTGACAAAAAACTCTTGACTCTCAGCTGCTCATATATATATTTGAGACCATTTTTGCTTTACACGAATGAAAAGCGCTTTATTTACAAGCATTAAAATCAGTTTAGTTTAGCAAAGAATATTTAGTTTGAAGTTTGGAAGGCGTCTCTTCCCTTCCAAGTCAGAATTTCTCTCATTTCTGGCATGATTTTGACAGACAATATTTTTGCCAATTATCTTGGAGTTAAGATGGAGAAGCAGGCAAATTTAAGTTTGGACTAGCCACATTTCAATCTGTTTTTTTTTTTGTTTTTGCTGCTTACTACGGAAGATGAAAAGATCTGTGCATAAGCCAAGTTAATGACTACCCTATGTATTAAGTAAGCGTTGTTGTTGCTGCTAAAAATGATAAATGAGCTAATCGGTTATCATTAATTTGTATTCTTACGATATTCACTAATCAAAGCCAGCAAAGTTGGGCTATGTCGAAACTATTTATTTGCTGTTTTCTTTGGGAACTTTAATAGAATTTTAGCAAATGACCTTTGATTGGAACATTGTTTGGTGGGTCTCTTTAGGCCCTTTAGCACTTAAGCCCTTTACAACGATATAAAGTGGTCATACATCAAGGTTTTAAGACCAATCAAAATGAAATAACAACCAACAAAAACAACGATAAAAGAGGCAGCAATAACAACAACAACAATTGACACAAACTTCGGTCGGTTTTGGGCCTGTACCAAAGTGACTTTTGAACCTTTTTGATCGAAGACAAACACGTGGCGCAGGTTGGCTGCGGGGGCAATGGGGCGAAAGTCTATAACAACAATTTGTATGTAAACAAAGGCAATACAAATCATTAACAATTATTAAACAAAAGAATTTATATATGGGAAATTGCTGAGATAGCTGGACGACAGTGGACGACGCCAGAATCTAAAAATATCAAGTGATATAGCACATACACAGCAGATACGAGGGACTATACGACTGAGGAATACCCTCGATTGAATGGGATTGTAATCAATACAAAAAAGTTAACAATACAATCATTAAACACTTGTTAAATTAACTAATCTTTAAACGTGAATAATACCAACTGCATGGATTGAAACAAACGCCAGAATCTAAAAATATCAAGTGATATGGCACATACACAGCAGCTAGAGGGACTATACGACTGACGAATACCCTCGAATCAATCGGATTGTAATCAATACAAAGAGTTGATATAAACATTAAACACTTGTTAAATTAACTAATCTTTAAACGTGAATAATACCAACTGCATGGAAAATAACAAAATTAATCTACTTCGATGTTGAACTATAATATTTCCACGGAATTCGCGATATAGCACACCTGCTGTTTACATCAAATATGGTCATTGGATATTGTGCCCAACCCCACCCCCACCCGACACTCAATTACAATTACAGGGCATCTGCGTATACAAAGTGAAGCATATGTGTGTACAAATTGCAAATGTACAACTCGTATCTGAGCGATACGAATGTATCTGTATCTGTATCTGTGTATCTGTATCTGTGTATGAAGTGCTACTAACTGCGATAGCGAGGCATATCCATATTGCCGCTGCTTTTGCTCGACTGCAGCTGAAAGTGGCGCTGGCCGGAGGAGCCGGAGGAGCCGTGCATGGGACGACTATCCAGATTGAGGACGCCTTCGCGAATGAGGCACTCCTTGATGGCCAACATATTGTACACTGCGCAACACAAAAGCTGACTAAAATTGGCCGCGCCAAGGCAAATATATTTGGTTTTATTTTATTTTAGAAAGTAAGACACAACACACACGCGTCAAGTGTTTATATATTTTCAGATATTTCTGATTTCTGTCCGGATTTCTGCGTCTTTTCTTTATTTATTTATTTTCTTTTAGGATTTTGCAGCGAACCAGTAACGAGACTGGGGCTGCACTTGAGGCGAAAATAGAAAAGCGTTGCGCACTCGCGTCTGCTTTACAATAAACTCGACAACTCGACGGCTCGACGACTCGACGCCTCTTTCCTCAGCCGCTGCTGCTGCTGCTGTAATTTTCCAACAGCTTTGCTGCCGTCCGTCTCGGCGCTAAACGTATCTGCGACTGCGGCAACCGAGCGACTGAGCGCTAGCCGAAAGTATCTAGAACTGGCAGCGGCAGCATTTGTTCTGTTCAGTTGCCGTTTCATACAACACGATTTTCATTCTTTATCTTTGGACTCGACGAAGCAAAAGAATTAAAACAAAACAAAACAAAAGCGAAAAACGAACAAGCGGTAGCCGACTCGAGTATCTATGTGAGCTAGCGCTAACAATGTCTGCGTATGTGTGTGCCTGTGTGTGTGGCTAGAAGCAGCAAAATCAAAACAAAACGAAAAACGTGCAACGGTAACAGCTAAAAGAGACGAGAAAACCCCACGAGACGGACACTTTTTATATACAGATTATGCTCAGCTGTTGGATGCACGCACACGGGGGGGAGGGAGAGGGGACTGGCCACGGCACAGATTGGATGGGTCAGTGGAAAAGTTAGTCCACAGTGTAACTAGCTTTTAGTTGATTGGTTTAAGCTAGTTCTTCCCCGGCTGTATCGATTGAGAACTAGTTAATTTCTTAGATTTCCTAGATTATGGAAATGGAACTAGTTCATTAGGTGCAGGCAATGAACCAGCTAATTTCTTAGCTAGCTTGAGCAGTCAGTAATTTAAAAATTTTGAAGAGTATATTTGTGGAAATGGAACTAGTTCATTCGGTTCAGGGAATGAACTAGTTAATTTCCTAGATTGAGCATACATTAACATACAATGAACTAGTTAATTTCCTAGATTGAGCAAACATGTCCGTAACTTAAATATTTAAAAGTGTAGATTTTTGGAAACGGAACTAGTTCATTCGG